CAAACAAGTTTTTCCATTTACCCAGTATTGCGAATGTAAGAATGAAAAAACATAATTATTATTAAACATCATAATTAGTACATTTTTATGCATCATATTATCTAAGCATTTCTCATACACATTCTGGTACTCCTCCCCACCCGTTTGGGGGACAATATGAAAATTATCAAAATAAGAAATGTAGACTCCTGTTTTAAAGCAAGGCAATGAAACGTGTTACTTTCCCCAGCAAGAAAATCTAAAATGTCACTGACCAACAACCAAAACGAAACAGGTGGGGTTTTAGGAGGGGTTCTGAAAGACAGTCATGGGGGTGTCCACTGAAAGTTGACTACCAACAACGGGAATCTAAAAGACACCCACCATGAGCGCCCGCTAAATTTGCCCAAGAAGAGGCAAACAAAAGACACACCCAAACCAAACTTAAAGACAGGGAGCAAACCAAAAAGTGGAGCAAAACAAAAACAGGGAAGATCAGATAAAGGATGGTTTGTTTAGAACTCAAACTCGGGAGAGCCAACTAAAGGTGCTAACCCTCAGCATCTCTCAAGACAACTAGAGTGCAGGGAAAGCAACTCTTAAATAGCACCAGGTGAAACACCTTCCCAATAACGAGATGACAACCAGCACAGGCGTAACACATACTGACTAACGAGGTGACACCAATCAGTGGGCCCTACGTGCTAACGAGCTATACGTTCTGAAGTCCAACCTCAAAACAAATGGAAAAACCTAAACTTTTAACAAACTAATTTCATGACCATTTACTTAGTATCAGCATGGTCAGTATTTTAAAACACACTTACATTTAATGGAAAGCATAGTTAATGCAGGTAAACATTATCCAAACAAAAAATTATTGTCTTACCTGCAACACTTTCATAGGCAAATTCATCACTGAGAAATAAACAAGATACTGTGTATTAAAAATTGGTTGAGGTTATTAGATTGTCATATTCCATTAAAGCATTCATATTATTCATATACACCTTTATGTAGAAGCAGCACACCTTTGTGTTTTTCCATTGCTTCATTACAGTAGAAGTACAAAATGTAGTCTGTGACATTTATTTTCAAAGAAACGAATACAAATAGATACAAAGAAAGAATTTTGATATAATAAAGTAAAATGTCAAATATTTCCCACCTGGATTCTTCCTCCACGTTTGAAGTTCCATCTAAGACAAAGACATATCCCAGAATGTGAAATACATTTTCAGTGATTGAACAATAGTTTTATTGGAGAGCTTGAAAAACATACCATCACCCTCCCCTGTCATTGGCACATCGTTCTCCTCCTTTTGTGTTGTTCTGGGGGAAATATACATGTGAAACGTTCAATCAATATACATGATCATGCTAAACAAACTAGCTATGAACATGTAATGAAAACTATGAGCTTACCTTCGACAATAACATTTTAAAGCTCCTGTCAAAAAATAAATGTAACATTATTGGTTAAATTCAAGCTAAATATCATAACAACAATATTAGAAATGCTCCAGATAGTGTTACAGGAGGGGGTCGCAGTTCCGGAGCGATCCACTAGGTGTCTTCCTCCGACAACCTTAGGCACCTCCTCACTCACGGTCTGGATTAATCATGATCCGATTGGTGTCACCTGTGTCTACCGGTTCACCTGTGTATTTATACCCTCACTTCCCTGTGTTCCCTTGCTCAGTTTTCTCTGCTAGTTTCTCTATGCTCAGCAGTACTAATCAGTGTCTGATCGGAGAAGTATGTACAAGTACTCGAGAAGTGTTCTCCCTGTTTCTTTATTATTTCAGTCGTAGTTACCATTTCGTATTTTGGATGTCAGCCTGTTTTTGGAGACTTATTTGCTCCACCTTTCTTTTATCGTGTTAAGTCAATTTTTTTGTATCCTGGCTTCAGGACCACCAGTAAAGAGCCTTGTTTCACCATCTCTGCCTACTGCCTACTGTCTATCCTGCACCGCACCTGGGTCACACCTCACACCAACCCTTACAGATAACTGAGCCAATATGGACCCAGCGGAGGCAGCACAGTATCAGAGCACATTGGCAATGCAGAGAGCTATGCTGAACCAACATGACCGCAGCCTGCAGCAGGTCACCGAGAACCTCCGCCAGCTGACGATCGCTGTGCAGAGCCGGGTGGACACCCGACCAGCCCCTGCAGACGGCAGAGCGGATGCCGCAGCAGCGGCGTCTCCAGTCTCGCCTGCGACATCGCGGGAACCCCGCCTACCACCTCCGGAGAGGTATGACAGACGTCCAGAGGGCTGCAGGGAATTCCTTACCCAGTGTTCCCTGGTATTCAGCCTACAACCCTCCTCCTTTCCGACGGAGCAGGGCCGGGTGGCCTACATCATCACTCTGTTGACGGGTCGTGTCCTTTCCTGGGCTACAGCGGAGTGGGAGAGCCAAACTACGGCATGCTCAGACTCCTACCAATTCACCTGGGAGCTAAGCAAGGTGTTCAACACCTCTTGGGTGGTGTCGGGTTACGAGGCCGGGAGGCGGCTTACGGCCTGTCGGCAGGGTGACCGTTTGGTGGCGGACTACTCCATGGAGTTCCGGAACCGGGCTCAAGAGGCAGAATGGGAGGAGGCCGCCCTGGTCGTCCTTTACGTGCAGGGGCTATCGGAGGGGATGAAGGACAAACTCTCCTTCAGGGAGCTGCCTGAGCAACTGGACGGCCTCGTCGACCTCTCGGTGCAGGTAGACAATCAGCATCGTGAGAGGGCACACGAGAGAGGGATGACGCAAGGCGCGCCTCCACCTCCCACTATCAGCCCGGAGTCTTTCCGCCGATTCAGGGAGGAGACGCCTTAGGAGGAGGCTATGCAGCTGCGTGCAGCGCTTGTCCAGGATGGAGAGGCAGAGGCGTCTGCGCCAGGGATGTTGCCTGTTCTGCGGCCAGGCAGGTCACCACTGCGACTCTTGCCTGGAGAAGCTGGGAAACGTGAGAGCTCGCTAATATCGGGAGGGGTGCTAGTGAGCCGGAACCGCAACCCCAACTCCAGAGACTCCCGGACGTTTCTTCCCGTAAGGGTTCGGTGGGCCCACGCTGCGCGTCGGGCGCATGCACTGGTGGATTCTGGGGCTGCGGGAAACCTGATGGACGTGGGGCTGGCCAAGCTCGCCCTGGGGGAGTGGAGGCATTGCCTAGAGGGGGCCGACCATCCAATCATCGTATGGACTGACCATAAGAACTTGTCCCCAATGCCCTGATTGCTGCCCCAGTTTCGTGGGGAATCGATAGGCTGGCCAGAGCAGCGCAACGGCGGGAGCCCGATCCGGATGGAGGTCCATCGGGGAGGATGTACGTACCCAAGGCGGTGAGCTCTTGACTGCTTCAGTGGGTGCACGCATCCGACCTCACCAGCCATCCAGTGGGCGCCAGGACGTTGGAGTTCCTGCATAGGAGGTTCAGGTGGCCATCAGCTGAGGGGGATACGCGTGCCTTCGTGGCTGCTTGCCCGGTGTGCACACGCACGAAGAGCTCACGTCAGCCTGCGGCAGGGCTGCTCCGACCCCTGCCTATCCCCAAGCGCCCCTGGTCCTACATCTCGCTAGATTTCATTTCCGCCCTACCCACCTCTGATGGATACACAGTCATCCTGGTCGTTGTGGACCGGTTTTCGAAGGTTTCCCACTTCATTCCCTTTCCCCAAGATGTGGTGTCGGATCGGGGCCCTCAGTTCGCCTCCAGGTTCTGGAAGGCGTTCGCCACCTGCCTTGGTGCCTCCGTCAGCTTGTCTTCCGGCTTCCATCCCCAGTCGAATGGGCTGACGGAGTGCGTCAAGCAGGATTTGGAGGGGGTGCTGAGGTGCTACGCCTCCAACAACCCAGCTACGTGGAGTCAGCGACTGGCGTGGTCGGAGTACGCCCACAACACCTTCTCTGCTCGTCCACCGGCCTGTCCCCCTTCCAGTGCCAATACTGGTACCAACCCCCCCTATTCCCTGAGCAAGAGGAGGATGCGGCGGTCCCGTCGGTCCAGGCCCACATCAGTTGCTGATCGTCGCACCTGGAGGCAGGTACGGGCGGCGCTTAAGCGGCCCTTGGTCAAGTCTCAACATCAGGCCAACTGCAGGCGTCACCCGGCCCCGGTTTTTCGCCCGGGACAGAGGGTGTGGCTCTCCACGTGGAGTCCAGGAAGCTGTCACCCCGGTTCTTCGGGCCATTCAGAGTGGTCAGCCTAACGCCTGCAACTTCCCCCCATCATGCGGGTGCATCCCACATTCCATGTGTCCCTCCTCAAGCCCGTCGCCACCTGTCCACTGGGTCATGAAATATTGGACCAACATTTTACAAGTTGCGTTTATATTTTTGTTCAGTGTATAATACAATTAGTGTTTACAAGTGTTTAATGCTTTATGAATGTAGTTTTAGATGTTTCCGAACAGATATTAGCGCCTGTGCCATGCATTATAATGTGTTCTGCATGTCTCATAAGGCGTTATACACATGCTTCTAAGGCTTTTTGAAGAGGGTATTCATGGAAGGGTTACCAAAAGTGTATCTGTCAATAGGTCACTAACGTATGAAAAGAGACATCAATCATCATAATTACCTCTTTTTGAACAGCAGGAACTAACAGCCACCACAGTCAGTAGAAGTATGACCAGAACAGCTGAACTTATCAGTCGGATAACATTGACCAGTATCACATCATGTGCAGTCTCTGAAATAGAGGCCAAATGTAGATGGATGCATCATCATTTAGACCGAACTTATTCTATCTAAGTGTGTCCATGTGGTCAATGACATGGAATAAACCCCCCTACCATCTGCCACACCATAGCATTTCCCCTATAACATCAATAAGGACAAATCTTACTTCAATGGAAGTATAAAGTAAATAATCGGCCAGAGGAATAGTCAATGTTAACCTACAAAAAATGAATATTGAGATGGAATCTTAAATAGACTAATCCCACATAACATGAATAGACAAATGAAAAATTGATAGCACAAAGCCAAATGAATGAATGTCCTACACAACATTATTTTTCACAAATAATTCCTACCTTCATAGACATAGATGGCTACTAAATTTTTGCCTGTTGACTTCACTTGATCCGGTAGAAGTTTATCTCTGGTGTAGACACAGCTGTAGTTGCCTGAGTCTTCCTTTGTAACATCCTTCATGGTGAAAATGGTGTCATCTTCACCTTTCTCCAGAACCTTCATTCTCATCTCAACTCCATTCTTGTAAATGTACACATTAACCTTGTCCCAGGACCTTTTGATGCCAGAGATATTACACTTCAAATCTATAGTATCTCCCTTTCTAACGTGAGACTTTGATCCAAAAAGCATGGCGGGGTAGACAGCTACATCATTTGAAAGTGAAAAAGAGCATTAAGGATAATTGAATGTCTTTGTAATAAACATGTTTGGAATAAATCGGCTTAAACTGTAGATGAACTCAAATGAATTTAACTCTGCATTTTAGGATTCAAAAGATGTCTTCTTACCTATTTCATCAGAGATAGCCAGTATACCTGCTGTTACTGTGACTGTGTAGAAATAATGGGAGATTTACACAACAGGCAGTTTGACAAAAAATACATAAAACATACAACTATTAGAAGTAGATTGACTGCATACTGAGTACGTACTGTACGTATGGATCATTTTGAGACCATATGCTTACTCTAATCTGTATTTGTAAAGATACTCACATATCATAAGAAAGATGGAACCCATGATGTGACTTGCAGCCTTTTGTGATCTTCTAGGCCTATCTGACACTATAAAAGACTGAGGAGGAGGTAGGTCTCAGCATGTAACGTTTTTAAGTGTGAATATCCGGAAAACAATAGGGTTCTATTTGAAGCGTCTTTGACCATGATGAGAGGTTGCATCACAGAGCTTTCAATTACCCACTTCACCCTGCTTATATTAAAGGACACAGTCAAATGTCTTAGGTCATTTTATCTAGTAGTTACATAATAATTAACTAGTTGTTACTCATGTGTGATTCACCATAACAAGCACCGGTACTTAGGTACTAACTTTGAGTTCTCTCCCATAACTACCACACACCTTTCTGGTGAGTACCAGGTAATACATTGAATGAGACGGCTGGACGCAGCACAACTGCTTTTTATAACCTATTTGATTGTTTACACACACATACTGTATCAGATATCACACACATAGCAGTAGAAAATATATATTATAGGTTATTACAATGACTATTCATCTTTAAAGAGAGAACCTGTGCGTATTCATATATTGTGGTAAATGTTCATATATCCATGGTAAATGTTCACTAATGCAGCAGCTTTTAGGAAGCAGTGACTTTATTGAAACTGGACAATTTCTATGATACGATGGTCTGATTACAATACAACCCAAACATGTATTTGTTCAATCAATTACTATGGATTACTACTTTATCATCTTCTTTGACTTTCTAGTACACTGCCACCTTGATAACTGTATCACTAAAGTTAGAGAGTAGAGGCTGTGGGATTCATATGTAGTGACTAATGGTGTAGGTTGGGTTTCTCAAGTGGACATTTGTTTTAAGCAACATTTATCTTTGAGTCTGTTTTAGCTAGGGCTTTGTATGCTATGAGGAGTGACAATGTTACATTAGATATTTTTGCAATGTGTAACACAGTCTTCCTATTAACTTTCAAATGTGGGGTTCTACATTTCCCAGGCCTATGATACTGAGCTTATAAAAAACTAAAACCAACACATTTATAATGAGTAGAAACGTTTCCAACAACGGTATCCAACAATGATACTGTAGTATGTAGTACTCTAGAAAGTGTGTCTTCCCTTTCAATACTCTCATTCAAGTTACACTACTTCACAAAATGAAGTCCACAAAAATAGGCTTGAGTTTGCTAGAGAGCATGTGTAACATCTCTCTTTATGTGTTAACTCATGATTAGAAGGATGGAGGTCGGGGCGTCTGGTATCATTTGAACTTTACTGAAAGCATTGCTGGAATCCATACATTGTTGTTCACTTGATCAGTAGCTCAACTAGTGCATGAGTAAAACATGAAATGGAATATAGAGTGTATCAGTCATCAACATAATTAAAATGTGGACTTGAATAACAGTAATATTTACTACATTAAACTACAGCATGCAAGGAGTGAGTAGACAAGAGAGATATTGTATGCTTACACAATGCAAGAACAACAGTCCACATGTATGGCTTGAAAATAGATTGCAGCTTGCAATTATTAAATGTACTGACAACATCCTGTCTATGTGTGTGGTCTGGTACACGGCTTCTGCTTTAGGCCCTTCAGTTGCTGCATCTGAGAACAGAAAGCACAGAAAACGTCAGGCCCATATCCTTTATTGTGACTTTACATGTAGATGGAAGCTATGTGTGGAGAGACCCCAGGTCTTATTTATATTTCTATGTTCATCATTATACCATTATACCTCCACTATACCTCAGTGCTTTGCTGTAAACAGCATTGCCTGTGAAATACTGTGAGACACATGGCTAAAAATAAGAATGTGACTGAATAGGTCTACATCTGGACAGGTGTAGTTTTCTATACAAACTGCCTCTTACGCCTCTTATGATCAGAAATAACACCCCCAAAAGAGAAACTTAAGACTTACTACCTGACTTTAATGAAAATCCCCTAACTATACCAAAGTTCCCTGTGTCCCATATTTCAAGGCATTGAACTCACCACGTTTGAACAGCAGGAACTAACAGCCACTACTGTCAGAAGACGTATGACCACAACAGCTGAACTTATCCGTCGGATTACATTGACCAGTATCACATCATGTCCAGCATCTGAAAAACAGAGTAGTTGGAATAATTCAAATTTTTTGAAAAATTAAAGGTCTCTTGACCTCTTCCTTTCATATAGTAACTATGAATAAAAAGTGCTTTCATAAGTTTTAAGCTATAAATTCTCACCATTAACCTGAAGAAAGGCTGAATTATTTCCATATAATTTCCTATCTGTATTTTCAAGGGGTTTTGATTGCAGGTCAAGCACACAGCTGTAGTTGCCTGTGTCATTCTTAATAACACTTTTAATCGTAAAAGTTGCCTCCATCCGGTTAACATCAAACACCTGCATCTGAACAGCAGTGCCATTCTTGCAGAGGTAAGAGTGACTGGTCATTTCTATTTTCTGGGGGGCTCTAATAATAGTACATTGGAACTCCACATCCTCTCCCTCTCTTACAGTGCTTGAGCCTGAAAGTGATATGTCTGCAAGGAGAATCCGGTCTGCAGGAGGTGGAAAAGAGAGGAATATGAAGGTGTGTTTGCAGTCACATTGAAATATGTTGTATCCATATGTTCAATATGTCTAACAACAATGACCTATCCAGACAGTAAAAAGATCCTTACCTATCACCTGGATGGAAAGTGAATTATCTCCCTTTCCTTGCACTTCAGATAGTAGATACTGGGTTTCGGAGAACACACAGCTGTAATTGCCACTCTGTTGGCTAGTTACACTTTTCATGGTGAAAAGGATATCATATGTTTCACATATGTCCACATACACTGCAACCCCATCCAAACACAAGTACACATGTACCCCTTCCGTTTCATCCTTACGCCCAAATGTACTACATTTTACTACTAGGTCACTGTCCTCTATTATACTTGTTTCTGTCCCATAGATCTTTGCTGGAAAAATGTCCTTAACTACTATTACAAAAAAGAAAAGGCATCTGTTATGCATGTGTAGTATTTTTGTGTACCCTATTATATTGAAAATATCATTCCTATTACTTATTTAAAGGTGCTACACATAGTTTTTTTTTATTGTTTAATTTTTGCATTGTAATTTCAGAAAATGTCCATAATATATCTGGCGCTAATAGTGGAATGATAGTGTTCAACAACAAAAACTGAAACAACAAAAAATCCTATGTGTAGCACATTTAAATTAGAATTCAATCTTCAGAAATCTCTAAAACATACTGTAACTTATTTTGTTAATGGTGTTAATGAAAAAACGTTGACATACCTTTTGTTTGGGCTATGGCCTCTTTTGACAAGGAACCTTTGATGAGAAAATAAATTGCAAAACGTGAAACAAATTGAAAGTTACATTTGTTACAAAAATATGATCAAATAGGTTAATTATTTGAAATATACTCACACAGGATAAAGATGAACATGATCATGGTGATAACGTTTTGTTGAAACATTAGGTAACTCTCTCTACCTTGTATATTTGTGGTATGGACCTAAATACCCGTTTTCTATAGAGACAATGTGTGCTGGGTGTAGTCAACTGAATGATGTAATTTCCTCATTTAGAATTAAACTAGATACGCTTGCCCCACAGGATTAGGCCAAAAGCATCTTTAATTGTGTGACTTTCTGGTCTGCATGACGTGACCACTATATTTGTATTTGTATTTGTATTTATTATGGATCCCCATTAGCTGCTGCCAAGGCAGCAGCTGCTCTTCCTGGGGTCCATCCCTCTGTAAGTGTGTGTATAGTGCGTATGTTATCGTGTGTGTGTAAGCATGTGTCTGTGCCTATGTTTGTGTTGCTTCTTAGTCCCTGCTGTTCCATAAGGTGTATTTTTATCTGTTTTTTAAATCCAATTTTACTGCTTGAATCAGTTACTTGATGTGGAATAGAGTTCCATGTAGTCATGGCTCTATGTAGTACTGTGCGCCTCCCATAATCTGTTCTGGACTTGGGGACTATGAAGAGACCTCTTGTGGCATGTCTTGTGGGGTATGCATGGGTGTCCGAGCTTTCCGCCAGTAGTTCAAACAGACAGCTCAGTGCATTCAACATAAATACAAGTAGTGATGAAGTCAATCTCTCCTCCACTTTGAGCCAGGAGAGATTGACATGCATATTATTAATGTTAGCTCTCTGTGTACATCCAAGGGCCAGCCATGCTGTCCTGTTCTGAGCCAATTGCAAATTTCCTAAGTCCCTTTTTGTGCCACCTGACCACACGACTGAACAGTAGTCCAGGTGCGACAAAACTAGGGCCTGTAGGACCAGCCTTGTTGATAGTGCTGTTAAGAAGGTAGAATGACGCTTTATTATGGACAGACTTTTCCCCATCTTAGCTGCTATTGTATCAATATGTTTTGACCATGACAGTTTACAATCCAGGGTTACTCCAAGCATTTTAGTCACCTCAACTTGCTCAATTTCCACATTATTTATTACAAGATTTAGTTGAGGTTTAGGGTTTAGTGAATGATTTGTCCCAAATAAAATGCTTTTAGTTTTATAAATATTTAGGACTAACTTCTTCCTTGCCACCACTCTGAAACTAACTGCAGCTCTTTGTTAAGTGTTGCAGTCATTTCAGTCACTGTAGTAGCTGACGTGTATAGTGTTGAGTCATCCGCATACATAGACACACTGGCTTTACTCAAAGCCAGTGGCATGTTGTTAGTAAAGATTGAAAAAAAGCAAGTAAGGGGCTGTAGTGTCGAGAAAACGATGCTAATTATGCTGTGAGAACAAGGAAATCCGCTGACACTGTACTTTGATTATAAAGGTTTATTACATCAAAGGATTCCAGCGTCAATTTACAGATATCTGCCGACATCTGGAGAGTAACCGGCTCCAATCTCTAATATGTTATTCTCCCCCCATACAGACAGTGACACTTAACAGAACTCACAAACATAGAACACAAATCCTACTCTCTTCCGCACACACACACATACAGTTTAAGAGGCTTATTTCCGTTCCTACGGACTTCTAAGCATGCTACTACCATCGCGCCATTTTTTCCTTTGTTCCTAAATTTTTGCTACCTCTAGTTCGCAGATATTCAATGAGCGGTTACATCAAACATATACTTAGTCAACTATAAGTTGAGCGGTAACTTGCAATAGAATGTATATACCACAACCTCCAGTCCCCGGGACTGACCTAAACCCACCTAATGCACTTTTAGGATTTTCGGCCCATCCTAATGATCGCCTCGTCGGAGGGCTTATCATAGATCCGCGATGTCCTAATTTGTATACATTTTTCCTTAGTTCCTGGCCTTTCCTTCATTGTATTCTTTTGGAATTTTATTCAAGCAAAATATCCCTATAGACACTCCCCCCTGTTTGCGTTGTTACCAGCGCAAACATATTTAGAAATTTAGAACGGACTCTTATCCCACAGCAAATAACAGCAAAGCACACACACAAGTTCTTAACGGTGCATTCACTCAACGCACACACACAGACACACGAACTGACCAGTTGTCACGATCGTGTGAATGATGAGACCAAAGCGCAGCGCGTGTTCCGAGAAACATGATGACTTTATTGACTTAAAGTGCAACACGAGAAAACAACAAAGAACGATACGTGAAGTTCCACTACTGATAACGACAGCAACAAGGAAACAAAAACCCACAAACCCCACAGGACAACATACAGCCTAAATATGGCTCCCAATCAGAGATAACGAGCCGAACAGCTGACACTCGTTACCTCCGATTGGGAGTCAATGAATACAAACACCCAACATAGAAATACCACAACCTAGACACCCCAACATAGAAATACACCCAAAACAAATGAACATGAACAACCCTGGCTCAAGAATAAAGGTCCGTGGAGCCAGAGTGTTACATTACCCCCCCCTAAAGGTGCGACCTCCGGGCGCACCAGCAAACAGTCTAGGGGAGGGTCTGGGTGGGCGTCTGTCCAGGTGGCGGCTCTGGCCCAGGTCGTGGTCCCCACCCCACCATAGTCATTACCCACTTACTTAGCCTCCTACACATTACCACCCCCCCACTACACCCCACTGGGTTAAGGGGCGGCACCGGACTAAGGGGCAACACCGGACTACGGACCAGCACCGGGATAAGGGGCAGCACCGGGCTAAGGGGCAGCACCGGGCTAAGGGGCAGCACCGGGCTAAGGACCAGCACCGGGATAAGGACCAGCACCAGGCTAAGGAACAGTACCTGACTAAGTGGCAGCACCGGACTGAGGGGCAGCTCCGGACTGAATGGCGGATCCTGGCTGGCTGGCTCAGGCGGATCCTGGCTGAACGGCTCATGGCTGGCTGAAGGATCTGGCTGCTCATGGCTGGCCGACGGATCTGGCTGCTCATGGCTGGCCGACGGATCTGGCTGATCCTGTCTGGCCGAAGGCTCTGGCTGATCCTGTCTGGCGGAAGGCTCTGGCTGATCCGGTCTGGCGGAAGGCTCTGGCTGATCCGGTCTGACGGAAGGCTCTGGCTGCTCCGGTCTGACGGAAGGCTCTGGCTGATCCGGTCTGACGGAAGGCTCTGGCTGATCCGGTCTGACGGAAGGCTCTGGCTGCTCCTGTCTGGCGGAAGGCTCTGGCTGATCCTGTCTGGCGGAAGGCTCTGGCTGATCCTGTCTGGCGGAAGGCTCTGGCTGATCCTGTCTGGCGGAAGGCTCTGGCTGATCCTGTCTGGCGGAGAGCTCTAGCGGCTCCGATCTGGCGGACGGCGCTGAAGGCTCATGGCAGACGGGCGGCTTTGTAGGCTCTGTACAGACGGGTAGTTCAGACGGCGTTGGGCAGACGGACAGTTCAGACGGCGTTGGGCCGACAGGCAGTTCAGGCGCCGTTGGGCAGACGGGCAGTTCAGACGGCGTTGGGCAGACGGGCAGTTCAGACGGCGTTGGGCAGACGGGCAGTTCAGGCCCCGTTGGGCAGACGGACAGTTCAGGCCCCGTTGGGCAGACGGACAGTTCAGGCCCTCTGAGGCGCACCGTAGGCCTGTTGCGTGGTGCCGGAACCGGAGGTACCGGGCTGAGGACACGCATCACAGGGCTAGTGCGGGGAGAAGCAACAGGGCATGCTTGGCCCTGGGGACGCACCGTAGGCCTGATGCGTGGTGCCGGAACTGGAGGTACCGGGCTGAGGACACGCATCTCAGGGCTAGTGCGGGGAGTCGGAACAGGGCATGCTGGACCCTGGGGACTCCCATAACGCCTAGTGCGGGGAGCCGGAACAGGGCATGCTGGACCCTGGGGACTCACCTCACGCCTAGTGCGGAGAGCAGGAACAGGCCGGGCTGGGCTGGCGACGCGCACCGTATCCCTGGTGCGAGTGGCCGGAACAGGCCGGGCCGGGCTGGCGAAGCGCACCGTATCCCTGGTGCGTGGAGTAGGAACAGGCCGGGCTGGGCTGGCGAAGCGCACCGTCTCCCTGGTGCGTGGAGTAGGAACAGGCAGGGCTGAGCTGGCGACGCACACCGTATCCCTGGTGCGAGTGGCCGGAACAGGCCGGGCCGAGCTGGCGAAGCGCACCGTATCCCTGGTGCGTGGAGTAGGAACAGGCCGGTCCATACCGGGAACACACACCACTGGCCTCAACCGAGGATCAGGAACGGGCCGGACCGGACTGGCAACACACCTCAGTCCTTCACGCCGTGCCACACACACATCCCTGCCTCTTCTCGCCAATGGCTCCCGTACTCCGTTAGCCCTCTCACCTATACTCCCTGTGGCAGCTTCCTGCTGCCCAGCCACCCAAGCCATGTGCCCCCCCCCCAAAAACTTTTTGGGGTTGCCTCTCTTCCACGGGCTTCCAGCCTCGCCTTCGCGCTGCCTCCTCGTACCACCTCCTCTCGGCTTTGGCTGCCTCCAGCTCTTCCCGAGGGCGGTGATACTCCTCCGGTTGTGCCCAAGGACCCTTTCCAGCCCGGATCTCCTCCCATGTCCAAAAATCTTTAGGAGGCGTCCATAACTCCTGGACGCGCTGCTTGGTCCTTTTTTGGTGGGTTTTTCTGTCACGATCGTGTGAATGATGAGACCAAAGCGCAGCGCGTGTTCCGAGAAACATGATGACTTTATTGACTTAAAGTGCAACACGAGAAAACAACAAAGAACGATACGTGAAGTTCCACTACTGATAACGACAGCAACAAGGAAACAAAAACCCACAAACCCCACAGGACAACATACAGCCTAAATATGGCTCCCAATCAGAGATAACGAGCCGAACAGCTGACACTCGTTACCTCCGATTGGGAGTCAATGAATACAAACACCCAACATAGAAATACCACAACCTAGACACCCCAACATAGAAATACACCCAAAACAAATGAACATGAACAACCCTGGCTCAAGAATAAAGGTCCGTGGAGCCAGAGTGTTACACCAGTGCCCAAGTGGTGAGAAAACTCACCCTTATCTGCCGGACTCTGGAGCGAGAGTCAGCTCGGCGCCAATGAATGGAACGCTGAGAAAAGACGCAACACGACCCAAATACCTCGTCGCCATTATGTAGTGTCGAGAAAACGATGCTAATTATGCTGTGAGAACAAGGAAATCCGCTGACACTGTACTTTGATTATAAAGGTTTATTAAATCAAATGATTCCAGCGTGAATTTACAGACATCTGCCGATATCTGGAGAATAACCGGCTCCAATCTCTAATATGTTATTCTCCCCGTCCTTTGTCCCAAACCATAGTATATATCCAATGTAACCTGATATGGGTGTTTTCCCCTATAGACCAATCCCAGGACTCCACCTAACAGACTTCCTCTGCTTTAGGGTGCCCCTATAGAACTACTCTCCAGATGCTCTCTTAAGCTAAGTCAACATCCTCTAAGACCATTTGCAACCATTAGCAAAGTCATAATTTGTTCAGATACCACAGGGCCTAGACAGCTGCCCTGTGGAATTCCTGATTCTACCTGGATTATGTTGGAGAGGCTTCCATTAAAGAACACCCTCTGTGTTCTGTTAGACAGGTAACTCTTTATCCACAATATAGCAGGGGGTGTAAAGCCATAACAAATTTGTTTTTCCAGCAGCAGACAATGATCGATAATGTCAAAGGCCGCACTGAAGTCTAACAAAACAGCCCCCACAATCTTTTTATCATTCATTTCTCTCACCCAATCATCAGTCATTTGTGTAAGGGCTGTGCTTGTTGAATGTCCTTCCCTATAAGTGGCTGAAAGTTTGTTGTCAATTTGTTTACTGTAAAATAGCGTTGTATCTGGTCAAACACAATTTTTTCCAAAAGTTTACTAAGGGTTGGTAACAGGCTGATTGGTTGGCTATTTGAGCCAGTAAAGGGTGATTTTTCTATTCTTAGGTAGAGGAATTACTTTTGCTTCCCTCAAGGCCTGGGGGCACAGACTTTCTAGTAGGCTTAAAATTGAAAATGTGGCAAATAGAACTGGCAATATCGCCCGCTATTATCCTCAGTAATTTTCCAGCCAAGTTGTCAGTCCCTGGTGGCTTGTCATTGTTGATAGACAACAATAATTTTTTTACCTCTTCCACACTCATTTTTACGGAATTCAAAATTACAACGCTTGTCTTTCATAATTTGGTCAGATATACTTGGATGTGTTGTGTCAGCGTTTATTGCTGTCATGCCTAAGTTTGCAAATCTTGCCATTGAAAAAATCATGAAAGTAGTTGGCAATATCAGTCGGTTTTGTGATGAATGAGTCATCTGATTCAATGATGGAGCTGAGTTTGCCTTTTTCCCAAAAAGTTCATTGAAGGTGCTCCAAAGCTTTTAAATATCATTCTTTATGTCATTTATCTTTGTTTCATAGTGTAGTTTCTTCTTCTTTTTATTCAGTCTAGTCACATGATTTCTCAATTTGCAATACGTTTGCCAATGGGTTGTGCAGCCAGATTTATTTGCCATTCCTTTTACCTCATGTCAGTCACAAGAGGCTTTTTTCTCCCAGACACACCAGGATCTCAAAGATCCTCAAAACACAGACAGCAGTAAGATTTCTGATTAAAGATACAATCTTTATTACTTGCCTGCCACCATACAGTCATTTAACAAATTAAATTACATTATGTACAGTTTATTGGACATTTTACCCACCACCCCACCCACAAAACCAGAGGCCTGATTGATATCGACAACAACCTAGTCTGGTAGGTTCAATGAACAGTCTTTTAAGTTAAATTAAAATTGTGTAATGAGTGAAGAGCACAGGGAGATTTAGGGCTACTGTAGATTACATGTAAGAATTATCAAGAAAATAGGATCGTTATTCTGTCAGTGCATCACTACTGTACTATATGTCATCCAGGAAACAGGTCATTATATGTTTGGACAGCAGTGACTAACATATATTACAGTCAGAAGAAATATGACCACAACAACTGAATTTATCAGTCGGATTACATTGACCAGTTTCACATCGTGTGCAGCCTCTTCATGGACCTCTTGATGTACCTATTCTGAAATACAGAATATATAGACATGTACAGTATGTATTTACACAGTATGTTAATATTGCCATATAGTCAATATTAACAATGGATTATCCATCCATATACAACACAAATGTTTGCAAGTAGGTTATACCTTCTCCATTCTTGTAGACCTGAATGATGACTAGATTGACACATGTTGAGATCACTTGACTGAGTTTGACTTTTTCTATGGTGTAAACACAGCTGTAGATGCCTGAGTACTCTCGTTTAACATCCTTGATGGTGAAAATTGTGTTATCTTCACCTTTCTCCAGCTCTCTTACTCTCATTCCACTTCCATTCTTGCAAAGGTAAACATAGACCTTGCTCAATGTTTTTCTGGTGCCTGTAGTGCTGCAGTTCACATCAACAGTCTTTCCTTCTCTCATGTCATGACTGTAAGTCGCTTTGGATAAAAGCGTCTGCTAAATGGCATATTATTATTATTATTATTATGTCGGTACTAGCTCCAAAGAGCTTTGCTGAGTAGATATTAGCTTCATCATTGAAGAGTGAAAAATATAATTTGTGATTAAAAGAAGTTCCAGTGTTTATAATTAATCTTGTCAGACATTAGCTATACTGTAATAAAATGACACATTTTACTATTTGTGTTTTAGATTTAAATTATTTAAGCTTACCTGTCTCTGCCAACCAGTAAAGCTGCATTTAGAAACAAATTGAGATACGTTTGTACAACCAGGTTGAATACTGAAAATAAAATTAGACCAAATGTATGCTTTACTTTGATCAATACTGTGGAAATACTCACATATTATGAATAAGATAGGACTCATTGTGTGATCTTTTCACACATAACATACTGTGTCCATAACCATGTACTGTAGCTATGTGAATTATGAGAAACTGTATAGGACCTTCAAGGTCTATAACCTTCATGCGAAGTTTCATCAGTTTCACCTATTCCTATGCAGCTCATTTTGAAGAAACCCATCAGTCCTCTGACCTCATCTTCATTGTTTATGGTGTACACATCCTCAACATTGAAATGTGTCTGATACAGTGTAATGAATGACTAGCCTTGCAGTGTCAGTCTAATTTCCTGATATAGTTGTCAGTAAGTTGTGGTTGGACTATGTCTGTCTATGTGGTACACCAGTGGATATGCAAATATAAATCAATATGTTAATATATGTATTATTTATCACCTGGCTATCTAGTTGCATAAAAGTAAAAAACTGTGTAAAATTCACATATTTAAGTCTGGCTTATTTTAAACTACAATATATCCTTGATGTTTTAGTGGGGGCTGTAGAATGGGTGACAGACTCACATTATTGGTTAGACCAAGTGAGCCCAGTCTTACTTGTTTTCAAGGGTGATATTCTAAATTGATGTGCCAACTGAAACTGTGCCTATAAGACGATTGCATTTGTTTTCAGTTCCAATAAAGACATATATCACATTCACAGTTGAGAACATTTTAAAATATTTAATATGAGAGGGAGAATGCAATAGCATATCCAGCAATAATGCTTAATGTGGTACTTTAATATTACTCCAAACAACTTTAAAATGACTTCCACTGAAGATATAACACAATGCAGCGCAAATGTCAGGTCACAAAACATCTTGACCATGAAGGGAGTAGTCCAACGCAAGACACACATTGAATACACAATACATCAAATACATATGTATAGATACTGTAGTACACATGCAGTACTGCTTTGAAATAATGCAGATCTAATAATGATTAAGACATGTATTGATGACGTCCTGTCTTCTTGCATGATTTGGCGTACACAACTTCAGTATCTGGGCCTTGATTTGCTGCATCTGTGGATGAAAAGACCCCAACATATTATATCTGATCCAACAAATCCTTCATCACAGCTGTGTGTTCATTCTTATATTAGACATTTCTCCGTTTTCAGGATAGTGTAGGATCCGAGATGAGGTGAGACAATGACATTAAGACAATGATTAAATAGGTTTATCACAGAAGCAATGCTAAATTAGAGAGTATACACCACATGATACACCACAGCTCTGAGGAGAAGGTCTCAAGTCTGTATTCTCTGCACAGATTAAATATACCCAGATCACTGTTATCTTGGTTCACTTTATGTGAAGTCCCCCAAAAAAAGAATGTGACTGAATGCATCTATGGTTTCCTGTGCAAACTGCTACTTACGTGTCTTACCATCAGAAATTACACCATTGACAGAGAAAATGAGACAAGATATTTTCCATGGTTAGATAGATACTCGTTCTGCCTGATATGCATGGAAATCCAAAAAGTACACCTAACTTTACGGTGGAGAGTATCTATTATTACTATTTCAAAATATTGAACTCACCTCGAATGCGTACTATAACGTGTTAAATATTCGGTGTTTCACCCTGAAATATAAAATTAAAATAGGTGTGGAAAAGTGTAGACCTGTAAGCCTCTATAACTAAGAGTCATCATAATCATTAGTTATCATTAGTCAAAGCTCATTTAGAACTCCCAGCTCACCTGAATTTCTTGGTACGTGGCATCCTCTGTTTTGTAGGTAAGAAGATGTAAGTTAAATATATTTAATTAAAACAAGTTATTTATTTTAAAAAATCACCTAAGACCCTGAAATCTGTTATATCACCATTTACCCATTATTGTAAATCTCACAGTATAATCATTGCATTTCTATGGAGCTTCATAATATCTAAGCATTTCTCACCCATGTCATGGTGTGTCTCAATCTCGTCACCTGTTTTGAAGATTAGAAGATGTTAAAACCATTAAAACAATGAATTTAGACAATTATTTTCACTCAAGGCGTGGCATATTAGTTCAGTCATGACTATTTACCCAGTATCAGAAATGTCAGAATAAAAATTAAAACATAATTGTGTATAATTTAAAGCATAATTATTATCATAATTTTATTAACTTCATTATCTAAGTATTTCTCACCCAAATGTTGATTCGTTGTATCACCTGTTTGGGAGATTAGAAGATTAAATATCTTATTCTCTTATTAAAGCAACCGTTTTTTATTCAAAATGCTAAAAATCTTTTATTTATTTATTTCCATTTACCCAGTATTGCAAATGTAAGAATGAAAAAACATGCCTATTTTTAATTGACATCATAATAGTACATTTTTATGCAGCATCATATTATCTAACATTATTATTATTCATATTTAAGTGCCTTTGAAAGGGGTATGGTAGTAGGTGCCAGGCGCACCTGTTTGAGTGTGTCAATAACTGCAACACAGCTGAGTTTTTCACACTCAACAGTTTCCCGTGTGTAGCAAGAATGGTCCACCACCCAAAGGACATCCAGCCAACTTGACACAACAGTGGGAAGCATTGGAGTCAACACGGGCCAGCATCCCTGTGGAATGCTTTCGACACATTGTAGAGTGCATGCCCCAACGAATTGAGGCTATTCTGAGGGCAAAAGGGGGTGCAACTCAATAATAGGAAGGTGCTCCTAATGTTTTGTACACTCAGAGTATGTCATATAATGTTTAACAGCAATGACCTATCCAGACAGTAAAAAGATCCTTACCCATCACCTGGATGGAAAGTGAATTGTCTCCTTTTCCCTGCACTTCAGATAGTAGATACAGGGTTTTAGAGAACACACAGCTATAAATGCCAGTCTGTTGGCCAGTAACACTTTCCATGGTGAAAAGGGTGTCTTCTTGTCTAGTTTTCTTCTTATCCACTGCAATTCCATTAATGCACAAGTAAACATATGTCACTTTATCTTCCTTGCGCCCATGTGTACTACATTTTACCACTAGGTCACTTCCCTCCATTATTGTTCCTGTAGAAGTCCAATAGATCTTTGCTGGAAAAATCGTCTTGGCTAATATTTGAGAAAAGAAAAAGTATTTGGCACATAAAATATCTGCAATATGTAAATCGTTTTTTGTGTACAGTATCATATTGTATTTATCTAAACGAGAATTCACTCATCTTCAATAATTAATAGACTTTGACCTGCCTGTGGTTTGGACCATGGCCTCTCTTGACAAGGCACCTTTGAAGAGAAAATACATTCAAAAGATACAACATAGACCCATTTAAATTGCAAAATGTGAAATAAATTTGAATTAAATTAAAACTAAATCAATATCAGGTTAATTATCAAAAATATACTCACTCAGGATGAGGATGAACATGATCATTGTGTTCAAGTCTTGTTGAAACACTTGTTGGTTGACTCTTTCTACCTTGTGTATTTGTGGTATGGACCTGAAACTAGATGGGGATTATTTCAGTTGAGACATCTTAACTAAGAATAGTGAATACGAATGATGTCATTTCCTGTATTTGTAGGAATGTAGCAGCTACAAGATATGTTCGCACCACAGACCTGGAGAATTATATGTATTATTTAACATTGACCATGTCTAACTCAAAAGAACAACAGGTGCATGGAATCAAATGAGCTCAACTTGCTTTCTTCTCACTTTTCTTGAGCCTGCAAGGGATATGTCTGCAGGGAGTATACGGTCTGTATGAGCAGGAAGAGACAGGAATCATGTAAGGTGTAAAATACGTTTGCAGTCACATTGAAATATACTTGTATCAAGAACATTGGAAAGGATAAAATATACTTTAATTCTTCTCAAATGAAAGTATGAGAAATTATATCATACTGACAAAAACACTGGGATAATTCTTAAGTGTGACTGACCGGAACAGAACATGGGTCGATGCAACTCTTCAGGTCTCAGACAAGGTTACTCATCACACGAGCGTGGTCATGGAACCATCTCTGTTCCATAAATGCACTCATCCCCTCAACCCCCCACAACCTTCAGTCTTTGGGTAGTGTGTCTGTTACATATCTCCCCCTCAGATAACTAGTTCCCTTAAATGAGCCCAGAGTGAGCTTTAATTCAATCAATCAGCAGAGGGAATGTTATCAGTCGTGATGGAGTACCACAGTTTCTGATTGTGCTTCCTGGCTAACATTCAGTTAAGATTCACAGTGACAACCTGATTACAGTTTACTGACTACAACATACAGCCACAGAAACAACTACCAGAGATTCCATGTCTGCCTAAATGTAGGTTTGAAATGCTCCCCAAAATCCTCTTTCAAATGTATCACTCTCTATCATAGATACCACAGGCCATAGATATCTATAACTCATAATTGTACATTTCCTCCTCTTGTACACCAAACTGGTTTTTGAATGATGGTACAACACATTAAGAGATCTCAACCACATCTTCCTTATTAACAGAGTATAAGTAGTGTCAAGTTAAGCAGGAGAAATGCCCTTTGGCATAGCGGTAGGATAGTGAGATGAAGACCGTAGCCCAGGCCCCAGACTAATGATGTACTTCATCACCAGGTCTTCATACTGATTGTGATCCAATAAAGCTGAAGGGGGCCCAGGGCCCAGGGCAGAGAAGGGAGGCAGGCAGGCAGGGAGCTAGAGAGGCAGGCTGGGAGGCTGGGAGGATGGAACAGGGTTATTATACCCAACCTCTACATGGTTTTGCTGCTACTGATAATCACATCTACATCCTGCGGCCTGCCAGCTGGACCTCCAAACTCAATTTTCATAAGGGAGAGAAATATCGATTTGTGAATGCAATGAGTTTATAGGTAGGTTAGCATGTGTTCAGTCCACTTCAGAAGTCACTTCATCCAATGACCATGGATCATGGCAGACGTACGTTTCTGTTGAAAGAGCCTTTAGAGAGCTGTTATCAGACCAATTAAAAACTGAAAATTAAGAGACAAAATCTTGTATCTTTGATTGCAAACATATGGTAGTGACCACTGAATCATATTGTGGTCACTTGTAGTAGCAGATAATAACCACATGGTGTCACCCCTCACAGCACAATGAAAAGCATTTCAGGTTGCTTTCATAGTTTTTTCACATTCACCCCATATGGTGTAATAAAGTTACCCATCCTGCATCATAGCCTTTTAATGTTCAACAGTTTGTAATTTCTATGAATAGCGTATCCAGATTTTATATGACACTGTGGTTCATTGAAACCTTAATGAGCATTAGAATCAGATTGGAATGGTACTGTACATTTGTTGTAAATAAGAACATACAGTATATGTTTATAGAAGACATTAATATTTCACAAATAAACAATATCAAAATGACTCAGTGATATTCAACATTTGAAAACATGTATGCACTCACTAACTAACTCACTCACTAACTGTAAGTCGCTCTGGATAAGAGCGTCTGCTAAATGACTAAAATGTAAATGTAAAAATAAGCTGTGAAATTGACTTGAGATACTTGTTGTGTACTTCTGGAAAGCCCCTTTAAGCAGTCATAGCTATGTACATGTTTGGGATCCTTTGGTCCAATAGATATTCCTTTAGCCACGGTCCTTTTCTTGATGATAGTGTGGTTCTTCGTGCCAGTCATAATCAAGTGACACTATGATGAAATCATTTACACAGAGCAAACATAAGGGAATGGGTAGGCAGCAGTACAGAGTTATACGGTGACATGGTTTCACAGTCTGGTCCTCAGCAGCTAAGAGATCACTACTACACCACACTTTAGCAATCAGAAATGTATCAAAATGCAGAGAAGTGACATGGAACAGCTGGCAGCAGCTTGCCTTCCTCTATAATCTGGTTCCCTTCCGTTCATAGTATTAGTTCCTCTCAGCTTCTTCGGTCCTCATCACTGGGTGATACACAAAATGACTGTGTATGTATGATTTAAAGTGCTGTGTGTATGAGTGGGTCACATATCGAACAATAGGAGGGGCTGGATAAAGAGCCCAGCGGTCCCCAGGATACACACCAAGATGAACACCCACAGAAATATCCTGTCGATCACCATGGCAACGTACTTCCAGTCGTCCTGGACCTGAAAGACAGTTGTCAAAGACACTAAATGGTAGATATAGACCTTCAATACTTTCTTAGCTATTGTGAATTATATACATGTGCGACGTCTCGACTTACCTCCTTGGCTTCGTTCTGTATTCTCATGTTTTCGGCGATATACTTTACACTTTCCATGGCCTCCCTGATCTCTGGCGAGAAGTGGGGGGACAGGGTCATCAGCTTAACATCCAGAGACTCTGAGCTGGAGCAGGAGCTTCCACCGCCTCCACCGCCTCCACTGACCCCCCCAATCCCAGCACCCCCTCCTCCACTGAGGGTCCCGATGCTCCCCACCCCTCCGCCCCCTCCTCCCGTGTCCGTGGGCAGCTTGGTGGACCTCTGGCGCCAGCAGCAGTTGCAGCGGCCCTCGCGACACAGGAAGCTGGAGCCCGCCTTGACCGAGTCACCACCACCACCACCAAGGCTAAGGTTATTGAGGTTAGTGAGCTCCGTGCTGATGAAAAGGCGCTGTCGCTGGGCCAGGCTAGGGAGCACACTGGCAGCCACGGTGGAGACCAGAGCCTGGGGCTTCTGCTGCCCCTGCAGGGTGCCTGTGGTGTGGACCACACAGGGCCGTGAGGCTGGGGGCATCAGCTGCTGAACCACCCCCCCAGGCCCAGGCAGCCTCTCAGGGTCCCTCTCCGGCCGGGTCATGAACATGACCCTGGGTAGAAGCCCCAGGAAGATGCTGCGCACCCAGCACGGCATGGTGTGGGTCTTGGGTGTGCGGTAGTGCACGTTCAGCACGAACACGGTGATGACGATGGAGAGGGTGACGAAGATCATGGTGAAGAGGAGGTACTCCCCGATGAGGGGGATGACCAGCGACGTAGACGGGATGGTTTCGGTGATGACCAGGAGGAACACAGTGAGGGAGAGGAGGACGGAGATACAGAGGGTGATCTTCTCCCCACAGTCAGAAGGCAGGTAGAACACCAGCACAGTGAGGAAGGAGATGAGCAGACAGGGGATGATCATGTTGATTGTGTAGAAGAGAGGGAGCCGTCTGATGTACAGAGAGTAGGTGATGTCTGTGTAGATCTCCTCACAGCAGTTGTACTTGATGTCGTGTTTGTAACCCGGAGCGTCGATGATCGTCCACTCGCCACTCTCCCAGAAGTCCTGGAGGTTGATGGTGGAGCCAATCAGAACCAGGTCTATCTTGGCCTTGTCGTATGTCCAGGAGCCAAACTTCATGGTGCAGTTCTGGTAGTCGAAGGGGAAGTAGGTGACGTCGATCTTGCAGGAGCTCTTGAAGATGGCTGGAGGGATCCAGGTCACATCCCCGTTGTAGCGAAGCAGGGCCTTGGTCTTATCATCCACCTGGAAATCTCCTACTGCACTGTGGCACAGAGAGAGAGGGACAGACAGACAGATAGACAGAGGGACAGACAGACAGACAGACAGACAGACAGACAGACAGACAGACAGACAGACAGACAGACAGACAGACAGACAGACAGACAGACAGACAGACAGACAGACAGACAGACAGACAGACAGACACAGACAGACAGACAACAGGGATGGAGGAGGGTGGATGAGTCATTAAAGATTACATTGGAAGGATGTAAAATAAACAACAGACTATTGTCCCTCAGCTAAATTAATCAGAAAGAAGCCCTGAGGCTCCATCATTTGATTACACTGTCTGATAGACTTTACATGCACTCCATTAACAATATTTAGTAGCTACATAAATAATCTACAGTATATGATGGTCTTACATAAGAAATGTGAGTGTCATGTCCTGGTTTTGTATCATCTACTCTGTCATTTCAGTGACAAAGAAGAAATCCTTGAACTCAGTTATGCACAATACATATTATTATAGCAACTGCATGGATCAATATTGATGTCTAGACATAACTCTTGTTTAACTCACTTATTGTACAGCACGATATCTGGCTTCCATATCCTGCTGGAAGGCACTCGAATGAACTCCACTCCTCCAAAGTTTTTGGGATCCCACCTCAGTTTGTAGTCATTCCAGATCTGAAGAGGTAGCAGGATGCCACATATCATTCGATAATAAATACTCTTTTATAAAACCCACACACATTTCAAATTCTACATTCTACATTTTTGATCCATTGACAATTGTTGTCAGTAAAACCTATAGCTAGTGTAAAAAACTGTTTCAGATACTGGCTGGTATTAGTGCAGTCATTTCCTGTACACTAGCTTGGACCTTTCTGTCTTCTCACAGGTTGACAGCTGGGGGCGACCTTCTCATTTAGGAGAGGACAGAGCACGGACTCAGAGGACATACAGACACGCATCTTTAAGGTATCCTTCCCTCTGTTAGGGCTAACATCACTGTCTCTTTGAGCCAAATACCCCTCTCAGAAAAACTTAGACTGAAGTTCAATCATTACCATTGTGATCTAATCCAAGGAATTGTACTTTTCTCTAATGCATTCTGTCTCAGTGATATCATTTTAAGATATCTTAGTTTCAATGGCTCATATCCCTTTTGCTGAATATCTTTTATTCTGTGGAGTAGATTTATACAGTGGGGAGAACAAGTATTTGATACACTGCCGATTTTGCAGGTTTTCCTACTTACAAAGCATGTAGAGGCCTGTAATTTTTATCATAGGTACACTTCAACTGTGAGAGACAGAATCTAAAACAAAAATCCAGAAAATCACATTGTATGATTTTTAAGTAATTAATTTGCATTTTATTGCATGACATAAGTATTTGATCACCTACCAACCAGTAAGAATTCCGGCTCTCACAGACCTGTTAGTTTTTCTTTAAGAAGCCCTCCTGTTCTCCACTCATTACCTGTATTAACTGCACCTGTTTGAACTCGTTACCTGTATAAAAGACACCTGTCCACACACTCAATCAAACAGACTCCAACCTCTCCACAATGGCCAAGACCAGAGAGCTGTGTAAGGACATCAGGGATAAAATTGTAGACCTGCACAAGGCTGGGATGGGCTACAGGACAATAGGCAAGCAGCTTGGTGAGAAGGCAACAACTGTTGGCGCAATTATTAGAAAATGGAAGAAGTTCAAGATGACGGTCAATCACCCTCGGTCTGGGGCTCCATGCAAGATCTCACCTTGTGGGGCATCAATGATCATGAGGAAGGTGAGGGATCAGCCCAGAACTACACGGCAGGACCTGGTCAATGACCTGAAGAGAGCTGGGACCACAGTCTCAAAGAAAACCATTAGTAACACACTACGCCGTCATGGATTAAAATCCTGCAGCGCACGCAAGGTCCCCCTGCTCAAGCCAGCGCATGTCCAGGCCCGTCTGAAGTTTGCCAATGACCATCTGGATGATCCAGAGGAGGAATGGGAGAAGGTCATGTGGTCTGATGAGACAAAAATAGAGCTTTTTGGTCTAAACTCCACTCGCCGTGTTTGGAGAAGAAGAAGGATGAGTACAACCCCAAGAACACCATCCAAACCGTGAAGCATGGAGGTGGAAACATCATTCTTTGGGGATGCTTTTCTGCAAAGGGGACAGGACGACTGCACCGTATTGAGGGGAGGATGGATGGGGCCATGTATCGCGAGATCTTGGCCAACAACCTCCTTCCCTCAGTAAGAGCATTGAAGATGGGTCGTGGCTGGGTCTTCCAGCATGACAATGACCCGAAACACACAGCCAGGGCAACTAAGGAGTGGCTCCGTAAGAAGCATCTCAAGGTCCTGGAGTGGCCTAGCCAGTCTCCAGACCTGAACCCAATAGAAAATCTTTGGAGGGAGCTGAAAGTCCATATTGCCCAGCGACAGCCCCGAAACCTGAAGGATCTGGAGAAGGTCTGTATGGAGGAGTGGGCCAAAATCCCTGCTGCAGTGTGTGCAAACCTGGTCAAGACCTACAGGAAACGTATGATCTCTGTAATTGCAAACAAAGGTTTCTGTACCAAATATTAAGTTCTGCTTTTCTGATGTATCAAATACTTATGTCATGCAATAAAATGCAAATTAATTACTTAAAAATCATACAATGTGATTTTCTGGATTTTTGTTTTAGATTCCGTCTCTCACAGTTGAAGTGTACCTATGATAAAAATTACAGACCTCTACATGCTTTGTAAGTAGGAAAACCTGCAAAATCGGCAGTGTATCAAATACTTGTTCTCCCCACTGTATATTTTTTTCTTGCTGCACTGTAGATATCCTCTCTTAATTTTTTAAGTGTCCTCCACTGTTCCAGTAAGTTAATTAGTAATCTACGGCTATAATAATCCTATTAATCTTTATATCAACTGAGGGAAAGCCAATTGAACAATGGTTTATATAGTGTGTTTTATGGGCTAGTCAGGGCATGTGTCCAGGGCAGCCATTGATTCTCCTGAGGCTAATCAAGACACAGCAGGAGAGTCACCACAGAGCATTGTAAAGATTTCACCTAATGAGGCAACAGGATGTAGCACTTCCTGTCTGGACAGTAGCTGTGGACCTGACGGTCATGGATCAAGTCTCAGGGGAGACACAACCTCTCTGCTGTAGGCCTGTGTCACTTATATATTATCGCTATTAGGTCAGAAAAAAGCCATAACGGTTTCATCTAATTAACCAGTGAATAAACGGATTGCCACGTTTTTTGATTATGTGGTTCTTCACAACCGTCTTGTGACTGGCTCGACTGTATCTACTGTGACTGGGTTGTTACCATATACACACAGTCCCTTATTCTAGGTATGTTGACAAACAGATGGCCGTGTATAAGATTAATAAGGGTTAAGCACAGATCTAGATATTTAAAGACCTGGAAACCAGTTCTGGTTAATTTCCCTCAGAATGAGCTCATCTCAGCGTGTATCACGACAATATCAGCAGCACCAAGTGGGGTCAACCATTTGACAAAACCAGCAAGCTATGCAACAGTACAGTCCCTTGTATTCTCTGTAGCCCTACACCATATGATCATATACTGTACCTTATCTCTGGATAGAAATGTAACCCAGTGTGACGTTCTGGCTCCGGGACTCTTAGTAGTGAGCCAGGGTTGTCATTTTCATTTGGGTGTAGTTCTATGTGGGATCTAGTTGTTTCATTTCTATGTTTGGTTTTGATGTTGATTTAGTCATATGACTCCCAATCGGAGGTAACGAGTGTCAGCTGTCGGCTCGTTATCTCTGATTGGGAGCCATATTTATACTGTGTGGTTTCACCTTGGTTTTGTGGGTTTTTGTTTCCTTGTTGCTGTTAGTCATTATCAGTATTGAACTTCACTTTCGTCTTATTTGGTTTGTTGTTTTGATCGTGGTTTCTTTATAATAAAGTCTACGATGTTCGCTCAACACGCTGCGCTTTGGTCTCCTCCTTTTGACGATCGTGACAGAAAAACCCACCATAAAAGGACCAAGCAGCGCGTCCAGGAGCAAAGGGTCTGGACATGGGAGGAACTGTTGGACGGTAAAGGGTCCTGGACTTGGGAGGAGATCCTGGATGGTATGGATCGCCGACCATGGAACGAGACGGTGGAGAGGCGACGGCGAGAGGAGCAACGGCATCGGCAGGGCCATCGTCGGAAGGACGGGAGGCAACCCCAAAAAAATTTTTGGGGGGGGCACATGGCTTGGGCGGCTGGGCAGCAGGAGGCTGCCACAGGGAGAAAAGGAGAGAAGGCTAACGGAGTACGGGAGCCATTGGCGAGTAGAGGGAGGGAAGTGTGTGTGGCACGGCGTGAAAGACTGATGTGTGTTGCCAGTCCGGTCCGGCCCGTTCCTGATCCTCGGTTGAGGCCAGTGGTGTGTGTTCCCGGTACGGACCGGCCTGTTCCTACTCCAAGCACCAGGTCCACGGTGTGCTACGCCAGCCCGGCCCGGCCTGTTCCGGCCACTCGCACCAGGGATGCGGTGCGCGTCGCCAGCCCAGCCCGGCCTGTTCCTGCTCCACGCACCAGGGATAGGGTGCGCTTCGCCAGCCCGGCCCGGCCTGTTCCGGCCACTCGCACCAGGGATACGGTGCGCGTCGCCAGCTCAGCCCGGCCTGTTCCTACTCCACGCACCAGGGATACGGTGCGCTTCGCCAGCCCGGCCCGGCCTGTTCCGGCCACTCGCACCAGGGATACGGTGCGCGTCGCCAGCCCAGCCCGGCCTGTTCCTACTCCACGCACCAGGGATACGGTGCGCTTCGCCAGCCCGGCCCGGCCTGTTCCGGCCTCTCGCACCAGAGATACGGTGCGCGTCGCCAGCCCAGCCCGGCCTGTTCCTGCTCTCCGCACTAGGCCTTATGTGCGTCCCCAGGGCCAAGCATGCCCTGTTGCTGCTTCCCGCACTAGCCCTGAGATGCGTGTCCTCAGCCCGGTACCTCCAGTTCCGGCACCACGCATCAGGCCTACGGTGCGTCCCCAGGGCCAAGCATGCCCTGTTGCTTCTCCCCGCACTAGCCCTGAGATGCGTGTCCTCAGCCCGGTACCTCCAGTTCCGGCACCACGCATCAGGCCTACGGTGCGTCCCCAGGGCCAAGCATGCCCTGTTGCTTCTCCCCGCACTAGCCCTGAGATGCGTGTCCTCAGCCCGGTACCTCCAGTTCCGGCACCACGCATCAGGCCTACGGTGCGTCCCCAGGGCCAAGCATGCCCTGTTGCTTCTCCCCGCACTAGCCCTGAGATGCGTGTCCTCAGCCCGGTACCTCCAGTTCCGGCACCACGCACCAGGCCTACGGTGCGCCTCAGACGGCCAGAGTCTGCCGTCTGCCCAACGGGGCCTGAACTGTCCGTCTGCCCAACGCCGTCTGAACTGCCCGTCTGCCCAACGGCGCCTGAACTGTCCGTCTGCCCAACGCCGTCTGAACTGCCCGTCTGCCCAACGGCGCCTGAACTGCCCGTCTGCCCAACGCCGTCTGAACTGTCCGTCTGCCCAACGCCGTCTGAACTGCCCGTCTGTACTGAGCCTGCAAAGCCGCCCGTCTGCCATGAGCCTTCAGAGCCGTCCGCCAGACCGGAGCCGCTAGAGCTCTCCGCCAGACAGGATCAGCCAGAGCCTTCCGCCAGACAGGATCAGCCAGAGCCTTCCGCCAGACAGGATCAGCCAGAGCCTTCCGCCAGACAGGATCAGCCAGAGCCTTCCGCCAGACAGGAGCAGCCAGAGCCTTCCGTCAGACCGGATCAGCCAGAGCCTTCCGCCAGACAGGAGCAGCCAGAGCCTTCCGCCAGACGGGATCAGCCAGAGCCTTCCGCCAGCCATGAGCAGCCAGATCCGTCAGCCAGCCATGAGCAGCCAGATCCGTCAGCCAGCCATGAGCAGCCAGATCCGTCAGCCAGCCATGAGCCGTCCAGCCAGGATCCGCCAGAGCCGTCCAGCCAGGATCCGCCAGAGCCGTCCAGCCAGGATCCGCCAGAGCCAGCCAGCCAGGATCCGCCATTTAGTCAGGTGCTGCCCCTTAGTCCAGTGCTGCCCCTTAGTCCAGTGCTGCCCCTTAGTCCGGTGCTGTCCCTCAGCCTGGTGCTGCCTCTTAGTCCGGTGCTGCCCCTTAATCCAGGTGGGTTTAAGTGGAGGGTGGTCATTGGGAGGAGGGTAAGAAAGCGGGTAGTAACTATAGTGGGGTGGTGGTCAAGCCCGGAGCCGGAACCGCCTCCGGGGAGCAACACCCACCCAGCCCTCCCCTATTGTGGGGTTGTGAGGCGCGGTCGCAGTCCGCGCCTTTAGGGGGGGGTACTGTGACGTTCTGGCTCCGGGACTCTTAGTAGTGAGCCAGGGTTGTCATTTTCATTTGGGTGTAGTTCTATGTGGGATCTAGTTGTTTCATTTCTATGTTTGGTTTTGATGTTGATTTAGTCATATGACTCCCAATCGGAGGTAACGAGTGTCAGCTGTCGGCTCGTTATCTCTGATTGGGAGCCATATTTATACTGTGTGGTTTCACCTTGGTTTTGTGGGTTTTTGTTTCCTTGTTGCTGTTAGTCATTATCAGTATTGAACTTCACTTTCGTCTTATTTGGTTTGTTGTTTTGATCGTGGTTTCTTTATAATAAAGTCCATCTCTGGATATCATCTCTGAATATAAATGTAACCCAGTCATGGCAGGGTAAACCTATGGCTCATAAGCCTCTGTCAGAAGGTTAATACCCGGCGGGTTAAAAGCATATCCCTGATGAATAATGTAAGATATCATTATGGCCTCCAGGAATCATGTATGATAGTAGGTCAGGTAGATGTAGAGGAGTGACCTTGTTTAAACAGTAATTTATATACACGTACAGTAGGAGATGGATTAAGATTGTACTTACATGTCTCAGCCACAGGTTCGTCTCCATAATCTGATTAACTTCATCCTGAGAAACAGAAAATAAGAATTTACTCTCAGAAGGACAAGTTGACCAGAGTCATGAACTGTATGAATATTTCATAGTTAGAAAGGGGGCACTCTGTCAGGAGCAATCATCTTCCGTACAGGATAGGCAGGGTGAACAGAGCGTTCTGTCCTGGGTCTAACCCTGGCTGGAGTTACCCAGGGAGGAGGACACTACACTGAGAGGAGAGGAACACCTGGGTCCTCCAGCCCAGAGGCATACCATACACTGTATGATGGCTTCACCCTCTAGGCCCTCGGGCTGCAGGCTGTCTCTCACAATGTGCCAGTTAGGGCCTGAAGTGAGCCCCAGCTCAGCTCTGACACTGTCACAGCTCAGGTGGAAGGGAAGGGGGGAGGATGGAAAAATAAAGAAATAGAGAGAGAAGGAGAGAGAGGGAGATTCTCATTTGGGCAAAGGTCTGTCCTCCGTCCTCCTCTCCTCCATGACCCAGAAACCGATAAATGGGTGAGTGGTCGAGGATAGTGTCAATTCGTTAGTAGCTGAATGGAGAAGTGTCCTCCACTCCTCGATAGCCTCCTCTCACCGAGGATACTCATAAGTATCCTTTCGGTGGCTAGCGTGGAAGTGTTTTAGAATCTGTGAAACACCCTTTGAATCAGCTGCTGTTTTTTTTTAGAACGGACACGTTTAAAAATGATACACTACTTAACTTCTTATCTATAAAATGTTTTCTACAACCATCTTAATTAGTTTGACCAATTTACACATTTATTTAGGGATTCAACTCATGTAAACGTAATTTGCCTGAGTGTAGAAGGAGAATCTCATTTCATACGTGCATTTGTTTCCACGTATCCTCTCCTCACCTCCTCCCCTCAATTACCTTTGAGGACAGAGGAGAGGAGGCGAACAAAAACAATTTAGATTTTCCCAGTCAGCCAGACAGACAGCAACAGACATACAGACCAACAGACCGACAGACAGACAGAACCCAGCTCATAACATTAACCATTCATGTGTCCTGATGAGCTCCCAGGAAACACTCCAGGTGATGGCTCTAAGACGAGGAAGACTGCTGCAGGTTGATACAGTACAGGTGGTTCTGGGGTTGCAGAACAAGGCCAGCCCTGTCTGTCCCAGGCAGACTGAGAAACCAGTGGCACACTGACTGTACATTATTTAAATGAGAGATTATGTCTGAGCCACCTGGAAGAATGGGCGTTTTAAATAAGATAATAGTCCAGCTATAAGCAGGCTAAAGTATCCCAGTTGTAGAGGGGTTGGAGGAGCGTGAGGCGTGGGGAGGAAATAATGGTCATCCATCAAAACAGGAAGCTCTTCTGTGCTGTTAAATGGGCTGAGGTCAGGGAAATATGAGAAATACTGTATCTCTGTGTCAGAAAAGAGAGGTTCTCTTTGGCAGCCCAGTTCCTCCAAAGGAAAGCTCTACAGAGGATATTTACTGAAATGGAAAAGACTCGTGGTGGCCCTGTTTTATTCAATATTTAACGAGAACCTGCTCACAATGTGGAACCATAATAAACACAGATCATGACAAAACATGGATAAGTCCTCCTTAACTGAATGTACCTAGCTTCTATCTGTTACAGTAATCACACAGGTTATTCCATTGGTAGTTGTATAAGGTCTGATGTAGCGCAAAGTGGCCCAAATGTGTTATTTCTTTATGTTATGAAGTATACACAGAGAGTAAGTTAAATCTTCCCTGAGTGATTTTATGTGACAAAACCCAGCACATTAAGCTCCCTGTTACGTAAGGGGTCAGCCAGTATTTTGGTATAATAATACATCTGTTCATTTGAATGACACCCTTCCTCCCTCCCCTTTTTTGTGTAATTAAAGTAATCCCCTCTGGGGCAGTTTGAGGCTGGCGAAACAGCTGCCTCTCTCCTCGTCCAATCTCCTTACAGCGAGCCCCGGCCAAAACAGGCATTAAAACCAGGGGCACTCATTTGAAGTGGCAGTGATTGAGTGAAAGGGGCTGTCCGCTCAGAGATGGGAAGAGTGAGGGAATCAGAGAGCTGACATTTCCCATCTTCTCTTAGCCAATCACACACCCACGCAGCCGTTCGCTGTGACATGCTCCGTTGGGTCCAGGCTCAGGCTGATATCACCCACTGGCCCCAGAGAGTCTCATTTACAGCAGGGCACATCTCAAGTGTCCTGGATAGCACCCGAACCATGCCCAACTCTTCACTTTGGTCTCTCATATGAGATCATACACATATAGTTGAGTTGAGACCCCTCCATCCTCCCACACACTGCTGCTCTCAACATGGGCTTTCATCACCGTGAATCAATGCATATTCATTTAAGAGAATGCACAGAGGCTCTGTGCTCAATACGTTATTTATGGAATGATTTGTTTCTCCCTGTCAGAGCCTGGCCTCTCACAGACTGTACTGTGTGATATATACGCTCTACTGTCCGAGAGTGTACCTCTCAAACACCAGGGAGACATACAGCACAGTAGCACAGCAGAGTCACCATCTCTCTCTCTCTCTCTCTCTCTCTCTCTCTCTCTCTCTCTCTCTCTCTCTCTCTCTCTCTCTCTCTCTCTCTCTCACACACACACACACACACACACACACACACACACACACACACACACACACACACACACTCACCACTTTGACAAGCTGGGACATGGACACCTCAAACTGCACGATAACTGGGTCAGACACATTCTCCACTGGGCGGATGTACTGATTGTAGCTGGAGAATATCACTGAGAACAACCTGTGTTCTGCCTCAGAGCAGGAGCCTCCTGAATAAGAGAGGTGAGGTGGAAGGTTAGACACAGGCAACATTAGTCAAACTTTAAGGTAAAACACCTTTTGTAGCCTATGGTGATGAAGTGGACAAGTCCATCTTTCAGTATTCTGACTGATGTTGGTGTAGAGTAGACTGAGCCTGAGTGACTAATTATTTTTAGCCAATGACACTTCCTCAATTGTCCCTATTTTCTAACTATATACTATATTTTCGTCCCTGAGTCAATTCAACAGGTAGGTTAGTTTATTTGTTTTCAGTTGGACAATTTTTTCCCTGCTTAGATTGCCAAGCAGGGAGAGTGGAATTATTTTCTTTGAAGGTCAGATTTCATACAGTAGCCTAATACAAATGACTCAGACAGTAGGCTACCTTGGAATCAAAGAAATCACACATCTGAGTGACCGAAGATGTATTTATTGTATTCTAACATCAAATGTCAGCAACATGCTTTGCTTTTTGAAATAAACGAAATAAATGTACAACCATTTATTAACGGTTTATATACAATTAATGGAACCTACTATTTAAAATAAAAAATAGGCGCGACAAATATCTGGGAATGGTTTATAACATTAACGCATTTGCTGAGAGTGTCATAGGCTATATCCCATAAAGAACAAAACATCACTTCTCCTGATTTTGAGGTTCACTAAAAACATCAGGAAACCACACAAATCAGATATTTAAACTGTCTACTTATTAATGACATCCACGCCAACAAATGTAAAAACAATAGGCCTATAACTTTAATTTAAAATGTAATTTCTATTAATTGTGGGCTTTCTAGACGTTCCAAGTATAAGCTATCCATGCAAGCATACTCCGTTTTATCAGTCATTATTGGCCATCATAATGTTCGGTATATGATATTACTTGAATTGAATACAGTACGATTGCACTAAAAGCAACAAGTAGAGGGCTCATATCAAGGTAAACTATACGCTACTCACCCGAAAAAAGGAAAAGAAAGAACGAACAGGTGGAAAAAATGAGGAAAAATTGGGCGTTCATTGTTAAGGATTTCAGAAAACGAATCCTCAATCTATCAGGACACGAACGACAAAAAGAGGCAGAAGAAGAGAGAAAGTGGGAAGTGGGAGTAATGAAAGCGCGCGGTGCCGACAAGCTGCTACAGATGCTGGGGAGCCAACTGCGCGCGGGGTGAGGGAGGGATGCAGGAGAGAGAGGGTGAGAAACTACGGTAGTCAATCATAACGTCGCCACTTTAACCCCCACGGCCATCATAACGTCGCCACTTTAACCCCCACGGCCAGGTAATTTCAGGAATTGGAGTCACCTCGCCATCAGACTGCTTTCATAGTCGACGTTTGTATATACAGTGGCTTGCGAAAGTATTCACCACCTTGGCATTTTTTCTATTTTGTTGCCTTACAACCCGGAATTAAATTGCTTTTTTGGGGGGGGTTGTATCATTTGATTTGCACAACATACCTACCACTTTGAAGATGCAAAATATTTTTTTTGTGAAACAAGAAATAAGACAAAAAAAAACAGAAAACTTGAGCATGCATAACTATTCACCCCCCCCCCAAAGTCAATACTTTGTAGAGCCACCTTTTGCAGCAATTACAGCTGCAAGTCTCTTGTGGTATGTCTCTATAAGCTTGGCACATCTAGCCACTGGGATTTTTGACCATTCTTCAAGGCAAAACTGCTCCAGCTCCTTCAAGTTGGATGGGTTCCGCTGGTGTCCAGCAATCTTTAAGTCATACCACAGATTCTCAATTGGATTGAGGTCTGGGCTTTGACTAGGCCATTCCAAGACATTTAAATGTTTCCCCTTAAACCACTTGAGTGTTGCTTTAGCCGTATGCATAGGGTCATTGTCCTGCTGGAAGGTGAACCTCTGTCCCAGTCTCAAATCTCTGGAAGACTGAAACAGGTTTCCCTCAAGAATTTCCCTGTATTTAGCGCCATCCATCATTCCTTCAATTCTGACCAGTTTCCCAGTCCCTGCCAATGAAAAACATCCCCACAGCATGATGCTGCCACCAACATGCTTCACTGTGGGGATGGTGTTTTCGGGGTGTTGAGTTGTGTTGAATTTGCGCCAGACATAGCATTTTCCTTGATGGCCAAAAAGCTCAATTGTAGTCTCATCTGACCAGAGTACTTTCTTCCATATGTTTGGGGAGTCTCCCACATGCCTTTTGGCGAACACCAAATGTGTTTGCTTATTTTTTTCTTTAAGCAATGGCTTTTTTCTGGCCACTCTTCCGTAAAGCCCAGCCCTGTGGAGTGTATGGCTTAAAGTGGTCCTATGGACAGATACTCCAATCTCTGCTGTGGAGCTTTGCAGCTCCCTCAGGGTTAACTTTGGTCTCTTTGTTGCCTCTCTGATTAATTCCCTCCTTGCCTGGTCCGTGAGTTTTGGTGGGCGGCCCTCTCTTGGCAGGTTTGTTTTGGTGCCATATTCTTTCAATTTTTTAATAATGGATTTAATGGTGTATTTTTTTTATAACCCAACCCTGATCTGTACTTCTCCATGACTTTGTCCCTGACCTGTTTGGAGAGCTCCTTGGTCTTCATGGTGCCGCTTGCTTGGTGGTGCCCATTGCTTAGTGGTATTGCAGATTCTGGTGCCTTTCAGAACAGGTGTGTATATACTGAGATCATGTGACAGATCATGTAACACTTAGATTGCACACAGGTGGACTTTATTTAACTAATTATGTGACTTCTGAAGGTAATTGGTTTTGGCTTCATAGCAAAGGGGGTGAATACATATGCACACACCACTTTTCCGTTATTTATTTCTTAGAATTTTTTGAAACAAGTTATATTTTTCATTTCACTTCACCAATTTGGACTATTTTGTGTATGTCCATTACATGAAATCCAAATAAAAATCCATTTAAATTACAGGTTGTAATGCAACAAAATAGGAAAAACGCCAAGGGGGATGAATACTTCTGCAAGGCACAGTACTGTATGTATCACTAATAACGAACGTCATGTATTTGATTTCTGGCCTAGGCCTATAGAATGCAGTCTATCAACTCAACAGAATCGATAACAGATCGTTCAATTCTATTTGGGTGGGGCTAGAAGACTATTTGATTGGAGGTATGAGGACGTTACTGGAGTTCAGTTTACAAATTCAAACGAAATTCCTTGTTGACAGTGAATCAATGATTCATTCAGAGGTGTGAAAGCAGCTGAAAAAACCTTGCTGATTTGGTGTAGACTGTTGTATAATGTAAAGTGGCACACCATGTGAGTGTTAGAACTGAGGGGAAAGTACTGTATCTGACTCCCGAGTGGCGCAGTGGTCTAAGGCTGTGCCACTAGAGATCCCGGTTCGAGTCCAGGTTCTCTCGCAGCCGGCCGCAACTGGGAGACCCATGGGCGGCGCACAATTGGTCCAGCGTCGTCCAAGGTAGGGGTAGAGTGCGAGAATAATGGCCTGCTGCTGTAAAATAATTTTGAGGGCTGTGTTAACATGTTACATCTGTGGTTATCAAGCTGATAAAGCAGATGTGTTATGTTATTGTCATGCCAGTGTGGCAGTATAGATAAAGCATTATTTACAATTATTTTAATACAATTATTGTAATTACACCCCCAAAATTCAGACAAAACAAAAAACACAAACATTAAGATTAAGACATACTGTAGGTACAGTACTATAAAAATTGGCAAGACAGACCAACAAATGTGATACAGATCACATTTAGTAAAGAGGCTATTCTTTAGGATAGGTGTAAGCATATTAGAAGGGTACAATCATTCAAACTCTATTGGCACAAAAAATGTATATGTTATTAGGTTAAAAGCACCCACCTTGCACATTTCCTAGAAGTCAGTGGTATTCCTTAAACTCCCCAGTAGGCAGGGGATGTTTAAACTGTCAGTGTAATCACATATCATCAGTTGAGGTAGGAGATTCACATGTTTAATGAATCAGTAACAAAGCTGCTTTGCCTTGTCATTAGCAGCTGATGTGACAGAAAGTCAGTGATAAACAGGGCTCTGGCGATTTATCAAAGGAGAGATTGATACCTATAGCTGACAGGGACACCCTCAGAAACAGGCCTTCATGCATTTGACTAATAGGATGTAATTTACTGGTGGCATCTCATACTGATATTGGTGATTACTCATGATGTCCTCTTGTTGTTCTTGAGGTAAAAACCCCTGTGTTGTTTTCTTTGGACTGAATACATTATTGATGTTCATTCGGTATAGGGGTAGGTTCTTATGAATATGATTACTCTGCTTTGAAGTGCCTACAAATTACAAATGAATATAAAGGAACAACACTTGATTTTGTAATTGAATTGAACAAAAAAACTCAACTTAACCATTCCTGGCACTGGAATGCATCATGCATGTGTTATCTTGATTTAAATGTCTCACAAAAGAACCACAAGAGTCTGCAGAATCTCTAATGAGCCTCTCAGCAGTCTTTATTGAGCAGTAAACGTCTTCCTCCAGTGTGTGCGAGAGAGAGAGAGTCAGTGCAATGTCAATGGATGTGTTGCCAGTGTGGGCATCTACAATGTGGCCAGTAGATGGCACAATATGTAACTTCTTGTGTGGCTGTCAATGTTTCACTATTAGGCTCACTACCTTTATGTTTCTGCCTTTATGTTTCTGTTCATGGATAGTCAGGAAACGAACATATAACAAAATAAACAGTACAAATATATTTTTTAACTGGAACTGTTTAATGCATCAAAATAATACATCCGTGGGGAATATCCCCAGTAATTCACAGGTTATAGACTTGTAACTCATACACTAACTCATTTTATATATGGAGTGTATCAGTTAGGAGGCCTCTTTATAACACCTTAGCTTGAGTCATTATATGTTCTGAGCTGCATGATTTTGCCCAATATCCATCTTATCAGTGTGACCTAATAATCTGATTTACACTTGAAAATTGCTTTAACTGAGTCAAGCTATTTTATTTAATCACACTGAACATCATTTCATGAAGTACCCCACCACTTTAGACTTTATTGGGTGTTAATGAATTTAATCAAACTCACTGACCTTTTTATACATTTGTACATTTTCTATGACATTTTTATGATATCTGACATATCTCTGTACTATATGGGTTATTTCTCCACCCGGGTAATGTTTTATTTTCAGTCTGGTTTTACAGGATATAGTCCATCTTTGTAGCTCTGCTTCAACTACATGAAAAAGTCAACTCTTCCTTGTACCGATGTGTCATGTTAGGACCAGGTAGTAGAAACAGAAAGAGCATAGAGACTTGTATTGCTGTAGGCCACATGGCGTTGGTTGATGGGCTATGACCCTTATTTCCCCATACAGCTTAGGGGGTTCAGGTACGGGGTGTGTCTGAGCTGGGCTGCTGGATGGGGACTATTGAATGCTGAAACAGAGGCTGGAGGAAGAGACCCAGGGTTCCAGTCACACACACTATTATAAAGATCCACAGGAACATACGGTCCACAACCATGGCCACATACTTCCAGTCCTCAATCACCTGGGACCACACAGAGAACAAGGTATGATCAGATTACTGTCATGTTCATACAGTAACACCTGTGACATGCAAAAATTGGGTGTGGAGTATAATATGTGATTGATGAGGTAAAAAGTGATGCAAATGTAATATAAGATGAAGAAACAATGAGAAACCACCAGTCTAAATATTGCTGAGCCAGACCTTGTAACAGCTATTGACCCTTTCACCCCTCTCCTCTGCTGTTCCTCTGCAGTTTTTGAAGGTGGCCATTTTTCAGGCCTGGTCACCTCACTTTTACATAGATTTATTTATGAAAACAATCTATTACAACAGTCTGGGTTATTTTACTGGGTTTTATTCTCAACTACCTCACATCCCAGTACTCTTCATTCCTGGTTTTTGAGGACCACAGCGTGTGCAGGCTTTTGTCCTAGCCCAGCACTTACACAACTGATCCAGCTGATCAAGGTCATGATCATTAGTGGAGACAGGTGTTAAAGTACTAGGCTGTACACGCTATGTCTCTCCAGGACCAATGGTAAAAAACACTGCTTTGAGTCATATCTCTAGCTCATTTCACAACCCTAACCCCATTGACATGGTCATGGTTCACTTACATTCTGGTCATCGTCGTCCCCCATCATGTGATCAGCCACGAAGCGGACCCCGTCCACTGCATCCTGGACATCTCCCCCCCAGTCTGGGCTGCCTCTCTGGCGGAGGTCCTGGGAGGAGGGGAAGCTGTTGGGCAGGAACTCAGTGGAGCAGGCCTCCCCCTTCCTGAAGGTGTGTGTGTACCCCAGCGGAGCTGCGACTTTGTTGTAAAAGTGTCCCGGGGAGGAGAAGGCTGAGGCAGAGGAGGAAGACATGGCGGTGGCAGCTTTGGCTGTTTTGGATGTGGCGGTGGCAGGGTAGCCCAGGTCCGCCAGTATGGACCTGCGAGCTTGGAGTCGTCTCTGCTGGCGCAGCCGCTGGCGGGCCGAGTTATTCTGGGGGCGTCTCATGAAGAGCAGATGGGGCAGCTTGTTGAGGAACACTACCTTGACCCAGGAGGGCATGGTGTGTGTGCTGGGGGAGCGGTGGTGCACGTTGAGCACACACACACTGGTGATGATGGAGAAGGTCACCAGCACCATGGTGAACATCAGGTACTTCCCAATCAGAGGCACGTCCAGCGAGGTGGGAGGGACGATCTTGGAGATCAGGAGGAGGAACACAGTGAGGGCCAGGAGGACTGAGATACACAAAGTCATCTTCTCCCCACAGTCAGATGGCAGGTAGAAGACCAGGATGGCCAGAGAGGTGATGAGGACACAGGGGATGATCAGGTTGATGGTGTAGAACAGCGGCTTCCTCTTGATGATGAAGTCATAGGTGAGATCTACGTAGGTAGGATCCAGAAGATTAACCGTCCGCCTGCCCGGCAGGGCCAAGATGTCCCATTCCCCACTGGGCGTGAAGTCGTCCATGCTGGCCACCCCTGACTTCAGGACCAGATCGAGCTCAGTGTGGTCGTAGGTCCACGACCGGAACTTGAGCGTGCAGTTCTGCTGGTCAAAGGGGAAGTGCTTGACCTCGATCTTGCAGGCACTCTTATAGATGGCCGGAGGGAGCCAGAAGATGCTGCCGTTGAACTGGACAATGGCATTGGTAAAGACTGTTACCTCATAGGTTCCATCCGCACTATGGAGAGAGGGATAAGCGAGGTAGGGGGAGAGGATTAGAGATAGGGTCAGACTCCATTACAGAAACTGATCTGTAAATTACATGAGAAAATGTGTTCATCATTTAGAAAATGTATCTGGACAATGCTTACTTGTTATAGAGCACAATATCAGGTAGCCAGATGTGTCTGGAAGGAATACGAAGCTTGTCAATGCCATCATATTGAGAAGGGTCCCATGATAGCCTGTAGTCATCCCAGTGCTGGAAAGACAGACAGGAAGTTACATATTTTACATTTTAGTCATTTTGCAGACACTCTAATCCAGAGCAATTTAGATGGGCAATTAGGGTTAAGTGCCTTGCTCAAGGGCACATAGACTGATTTTTCACCTAGTCGACTCTGGGATTCGAACCAGCGACCTTTCGGTTACTGGCCCAACGCTATTAACTGCTATGCTACCTTCACGGTTCTGGCTGTCACACCCAGTCACATAAGGACTCTCTCTCAACACCAGATTATTCCCAATGACACACTTAATTATCATTGAAATGAAAAGTGGTGAATGGTGTGTGCACAATTATCAGTCTGTTCTGTTCCGGATTGTCTGAGTCAGAAGCATGGTTCTGCTTTAATTCAGACTCAGTGAGAAGGACACTGGAGCTGGAGATAGACGAGGGGACAGACTGAGTAATGAATGATTAATAGGATAGGACCATAATCTTCCGCTTACCTGTGTGAGCCAAACGTTGGTGGTCATAATCTGCTCTCTTTCATTCTGGAAATTAAAAAGGTAGTGGAGTGTTAGCTTCATTTAAAAACAGACTATTTACTATACAATACACAAAGCATGTTTAATGACACCAACTCAGACACACATACAGACTCCAGCACACATCTAGTGCACATGCTTGATTTAGAAGAGAGTAAAAGTGAGAGATGTGTTTTCACGCTGAATAAATTCCCTGCACATGGGGTCTATTGTTAAGATAAATGACACCCTCGCCTGGAACACATCTGCCATCTGAGCGCCGTCGGACCTGTTGATAAATTCCCAGAGCGCTTGCATCAACTCTGAACAGCAAGTCAAAACGAACAGCCCTAAAAAGGAGTGGGCAGCAGAGTGTGCAAACCTCCACTGCACGCAGCAGCACAATGCTTTAAAACAAATATATCACACTTCTCATACCATTACACTTTACAGGACATTAAAATTTCAATTACCAAAGAAGAGGAGGACAATAAGAGGCCATAAACAGAGGATGTATGTGTCCTGCTGTTATTCTCTGGGCCACGCCAGGGCAGGGAGGAAGGGAGGGTAGGATCCTGTAAATCAGTGTGGGATTCCAACGTCCTCTCCTGCGGCAGCTTTACAGCTCCTTCTAACGCAATGTGCTGAAGTTTCAATCTGGACATGACAGAGACGGAGAGCATAGCCCTGCCAGATCCATCCTATACCCATGCTGTCATTAGGGCCAGGGCCTTTCAGTAGAATCTGTGTAAGTAATTAAAATGTTTGCCACTGGCTCCTCTGAGCTCTGCTCTCCCTTTCTGTTTTCTCCCCTCTCTTCTCCCTTTCTGCTCTCCCTCTGCTCTGTCCATCTCTTCCTCTGTCCTCTCCCTCTGCTCTGTCCATCTCTTCCTCTGTCCTCTCCCTCTGTGGTCTCCGTCATCTGCCACATCTCCTCTCCATCTCAGGCACTCTAACTGGCTCTATGGATCGGCTATCATGAGACTCACCACACTGATGAGTTGGGCCAGGGACACCTGTAGTATGACAGTGACGCGCTCGTTTCTGTTTACGGCTGGGCGGATCAGCTTGTTGTAGCGATCCTTTCCCAGCAGCCAGTTCATCAGACGCTCCTCTGAGTCCGCACAGCTGCCACCTGTGGATAGAGTCAACAGTGATTTGGGGATAGTTATGGGAAATAGTCACAGTTGTTACCTTTATTGCAATTGTGTTATGACAATGAAAAAACTAGATTACTGTGCGATAAAAAAGACCCACTGGCTGTTGTTGTGTTTAGTCACTGGTTTTATAGCTGGACTGTCACGCCAGTCTTTTTATGTTGTTTAATGGAGCATGTTTTATAGTCTTGTGTGGACTGGATGAAGACTGTGTTGCTGACTCTGCAGTCTTTCAGTCTGTCAGCTCCCCAACCCAGGACAAATAGGAACAAAGCACCTACTGCGACACTTCCTGGTTTCTATACCCTTGTACCTGGAGGTGTTTAATAGCACTCCAAACAAACTGCATACTTAAGTGCGAGACAGACTCCCACAGGGGAGAATGCATGTCTGATAGGGCTTGGGCTGTGTTAAATAGATAGTAAAAAATATGAGGGCCTTGGAGCCTTTCTGCAGAATAATTAACATCCGGGATATGGGAGGGGAGATGTTTCGGTAGAGTGTTAATGATTCTGCTGTTGCAGAGCCAGAGCCTAAAGCCACATGATCAGCCTTTTCTCTTATGTGAGCTACAGCCATGAATACCAAGCCATGAACCAAACCAGCACACCTTCTTCTCCTTGATAAACGACGCGCAAGTCAGGAGTAAAGAGGGCTTTGATTAAAAACAATGGCGAGCACCCCCCCACTCTCTCTCTTCCCCCAACAACCCTCTCTTCCCCCATCAGCCCTCCTCTATAGTGACTAATGCTCCGACATACAGTAGCAGAGAGAAGCTGAGTAGCCCAGTCAGAAGTAATCATTTTGGGAAAAAATGCTTAGTCAAATGGTACATGCCCTGGAGTAATCTTTACAATAGCTGCTAAGACTGTTGCACTGATATTTGGTATTTTATTAGGATCCCCATTAGCTGTTGCAATAGCTACAATTCCTGGGGTCCACACGAAATATAAAACATAAAATAATACTGAACATTAATCGAGAAGAACAGCTCAAGGACAGAACTAGATACATTTAAAATGTTACATAGCCTACATATCAGTACATACACACAATATCTAGGTCAAATAGGGGAGAGGCATTCAGCAGTGAGGTGTTGCTTTATCTGTTTTTTTTATACCAGGTTTGCTGTTTACATGAGCAACCTTTGATGGAAGCAATCATGGCTCTATATAATACTGTACATTTTCTTAAATTTGTTCTGGATTTGGGGACTGTGAAAAGACCCCTGGTGTCATGTCTGGTGGGTAAGTGTGTGTGTCAGTGCTGTGTGTAAATTGACTATGCAAACAATTTTGAATTTTCAACACATTGTTTCTTTTAAAAACAAGAAGTGATGCAGTCAGACTCTCCTCTACTTGTAGCCAAGGGAGACAGGCATGCATAGTATTGATTCACGTTTATTATGGTAGGTAAAAATAAGATACATGTTTTGACTGTAGATCCCTTCCCAATAGTGTATTATCAGACAGGCCCATGTGCCAGTTTATGCCAGACAATTACCACATGTAGAGTTGAGAGTTCGGGAGTGTCCAACAGGACTCCCTCATAGACTGGTGCATGTTGCCATGGCTACCCTATCATCAGTCACTTGGCTGGACTCCCATCAAACACAATGGGTCCTCTACAAGACAGATGGCATGTTGTCAAAGCCCTGGGAGGCTGCTGTCAAACATCCACACTCCTTACCCAGAGGTGAAGGGCACTGGCCAGTGGGAGAGCAGGCCACTCAAACTAGTAATCACTACCTGCTGAGAAGGGCTATTACAGTGTGTATGTGTGTGTGTGTGTGTGTGTGTGTGTGTGTGTGTGTGTGTGTGTGTGTGTGCGTGCGTGTGTGTGTGTGTGTGTGTATCAACTTGGGTCTTGAAAGGGGAATGTACAGTGAGGGAAAAAAGTATTTGATCCCCTGCTGATTTTGTACGTTTGCCCACTGACAAAGAAATGATCAGTCTATAATTTTAATGGTAGATTTATTTGAACAGTGAGAGACAGAATAACAACAAAGAAATCCAGAAAAATTAATGTCAAAAATGTTATAAATTGATTTGCATTTTAATGAGGGAAATAAGTATTTGACCCCCTCTCAATCAGAAAGATTTCTGGCTCCCAGGTGTCTTTTATACAGGTAACGAGCTGAAATTAGGAGCACACTCTTAAAGGGAGTGCTCCTAATCTCAGTTTGTTACCTGTATAAAAGACATCTGTCCACAGAAGCAATCAATTAATCAGATTCCAAACTCTCCACCATGGCCAAGACCAAAGAGCTCTCCAAGGATGTCAGGGACAAGATTGACCTACACACGGCTGGAATGGGCTACAAGACCATAGCCAAGCAGCTTGGTGAGAAGGTGACAACAGTTGGTGCGATTATTCGCAAATGGAAGAAACACAAATGAACTGTCAATCTCCCTCGGCCTGGGGCTCCATGCAAAATCTCACCTTGTGGAGTTGCAATGATCATGAGAATGGTGAGGAATTAGCCCAGAACTACACGGGAGGATCTTGTCAATGATCTCAAGGCAGCTGGGACCATAGTCACCAAGGAAAAAATTTGTAACACACTACGCCGTGAAGGACTGAAATCCTGCAGCGCCCGCAAGGTCCCCCTGCTCAAGAAAGTACATATACAGTGGGGGAAAAAAGTATTTAGTCAGCCACCAATTGTGCAAGTTCTCCCACTTAAAAAGATGAGAGAGGCCTGTAATTTTCATCATAGGTACACGTCAACTATGACAGACAAAATGAGAAAAAAAAATCCAGAAAATCACATTGTAGGATTTTTTATGAATTTATTTGCAGTTTCTCAATACTTTGTTACATACCCTTTGTTGGCAATGACACAGGTCAAACGTTTTCTGTAAGTCTTCACAAGGTTTTCACACACTGTTGCTGGTATTTTGGCCCATTCCTCCATGCAGATCTCCTCTAGAGCAGTGATGTTTTGGGGCTGTCGCTGGGCAACACGGACTTTCAACTCCCTCCAAAGATTTTCTATGGGGTTGAGATCTGGAGACTGGCTAGGCCACTACAGGACCTTGAAATGCTTCTTACGAAGCCACTCCTTCGTTGCCCGGGCGGTGTGTTTGGGATCATTGTCATGCTGAAAGACCCAGCCACGTTTCATCTTCAATGCCCTTGCTGATGGAAGGAGGTTTTCACTCAAAATCTCACGATACATGGCCCCATTCATTCTTTCCTTTACACGGATCAGTCGTCCTGGTCCCTTTGCAGAAAAACAGCCCCAAAGCATGATGTTTCCACCCCCATGCTTCACAGTAGGTATGGTGTTCTTTGGATGCAACTCAGCATTCTTTGTCCTCCAAACACGACGAGTTGAGTTTTTACCAAAAAGTTCTATTTTGGTTTCATCTGACCATATGACATTCTCCCAATCCTCTTCTGGATCATCCAAATGCACTCTAGCAAACTTCAGACGGGCCTGGACATGTACTGGCTTAAGCAGGGGGACACGTCTGGCACTGCAGGATTTGAGTCCCTGGCGGCGTAGTGTGTTACTGATGGTAGGCTTTGTTACTTTGGTCCCAGCTCTCTGCAGGTCATTCACTAGGTCCCCCCGTGTGGTTCTGGGATTTTTGCTCACCGTTCTTGTGATCATTTTGACCCCACGGGGTGAGATCTTGCGTGGAGCCCCAGATCGAGGGAGATTATCAGTGGTCTTGTATGTCTTCCATTTCCTAATAATTGCTCCCACAGTTGATTTCTTCAAACCAAGCTGCTTACCTATTGCAGATTCAGTCTTCCCAGCCTGGTGCAGGTCTACAATTTTGTTTCTGGTGTCCTTTGACAGCTCTTTGGTCTTGGCCATAGTGGAGTTTGGAGTGTGACTGTTTGAGGTTGTGGCCAGGTGTTTTTTATACTGATAACAAGTTCAAACAGGTGCCATTAATACAGGTAACGAGTGGAGGACAGAGGAGCCTCTTAAAGAAGAAGTTACAGGTCTGTGAGAGCCAGAAATCTTGCTTCTTTGTAGGTGACCAAATACTTATTTTCCACCATAATTTGCAAATAAATTCATAAAAAATCCTACAATGTGATTTTCTGGATTTGTTTTTCTCAAAATGTGTCTGTCATAGTTGACGTGTACCTATGATGAAAATTACAGGCCTCTCTCATCTTTTTAAGTGGGAGAACTTGCACAATTGGTGGCTGAGTAAATAATTTTTTTGCCCCACTGTACATGCCCGTCTGAAGTTTGCCAATGAACATCTGAATGATTCAGAGGAGAACTGGGTGAAAGTATTGTGGTCAGATGAGACCAAAATGGAGCTCTTTGGCATCATCTCAACTCGCCGTGTTTGGAGGAGGAGGAATGCTGCCTATGACCCCAAGAACACCATCCCCACCGTCAAACATGGAGGTGGAAACATTATGCTTTGGGGGTGTTTTTCTGCTAAGGGGACAGGACAACTTCACTGCATCAAAGGGACGATGGACAGGGCCATGTACCATCAAATCTTGGGTGAGAACCTCCTTCCCTCAGCCAGGGCATTGAAAAAGGGTCGTGGATGGGTTATTCCAGCATGACAATGACCGAAAACACACGGCCAAGGCAACAAATGGAGTGGCTCAAGAAGAAGCACATTAAGGTCCTGGAGTGGCCTAGCCAGTCTCCAGACCTTAATCCCATGGAAAATCTGTGGAGGGAGCTGATGGTTCGAGTTGCCAAACGTCAGCCTCGAAACCTTAATGACTTGGAGAAGATCTGCAAAGAGTGGGAACGTCTGACCTCTGTGATTGCCAACAAGGGTTTTGCCACCAAGTACTAAGTCATGTTTTGCAGAGGGGTCAAATACTTATTTCCTTCATTAAAATGCAAATCAATTTATAACATTTTTGACATGCGTGTTTCTGGATTTTTTTGTTGTTATTCTGTCTCTCACTGTTCAAATAAGCCTACCATTAAAATTATAGACTGATCATTTCTTTGTCAGTGGGCAAACGTACAAAATCAGCAGGGGATCAAATACTTTCTTCCCTCACTGTACATGCCTTTTAATGGCAACGCTTTAAAAGTGTTGCGTTGACATTATGTTGATTGGCAGGAGAGGGCAGCGGTGTTAATACAGAGACTGAATCAGCAATGGTTGACTTTTAAAAAGGTCACTCTGCTCCACGCTCCAAAATACTGCATTCTGAAAAATTGCATCTAGGACGAGATTGGGAGGTGAATAATGCACCCTGTCTTTTGACCCAATAGAAAACAGCAGGCAAAAAACATCCTGTCATCTGGATTGCAGTGTTGGCCCTCAAGACATGCCAGAGGTCCTACTGATTACAGAACACTGTGGCATTTAGCTGTATGGTTAGAATATTACTGTATGGTTAGAATATTACTGCCAGGTTCTCCACACTGAGCACAGACAGACTGGTCACCAGCCAGGTCTGTGTGCTTTAGCCAGTTCCCCTGGCTTTATTGTCAGGCCATACATGTTATGACAACGAACCAAACAAGACAGAGTGGACAAGTAAAAAGCTACACATAGCATCTATCCCAGCCGTGAAATCCGCTTGCAAGAAGGTGCTGTGAATGGCCAGTGTACTGTATAGGCAAAGTGTGATATATGATCCTTTACTCTCCCAGTGACTTCCCTCTCCCTTCCTGAGAAGGGCCGGTCAGAGCTCCTTCATCAGTATTACCGAGGTGGTCATGTCCATTTGATACCCTTTTGTTGGAAACCTTTTAACCAAACGCCTCCTCCAACCACAGCACAGTGAACACACACAACATGTTCTCTAAGATAATACCCAGAATGCCTCTATCTTTGCTGACTGATTGTAAAGGTTACTGTAACATAATAGGTTTGACTTAGTGACTCAGGATAAGAGAGAGCATTTAAATTGAAATATACACTATATATGCAAATTAGTGGATTTGGCTACTTCAGCCACACCCGTTGCTGACAGGTGTATAAAATAGAGCACACAGCCATGCAATCTCCATAGAAAAACATTGGCAGTAGAATGGCCTTACTGAAGAGCTCAGTGACTTTCAACGTGGCACCGTCATATGATGCCACCTTTCCAACAAGTCAGTTTGTCAAAATTCTGTGCTTCCAACTTTGTGGCAACAGTTTGGGGAAGGCCCTTTCCTATTTCAGCACGACAATGCCCCCGTGCACAAAGCGAGCTCCATACAGAAATGGTTTGTCGAGATCAGTGTGGAAGAACTTGACTGGCCTGCACAGAGCCCTGACCTCAACCCCATCGAACACCTTTGGGATGAATTGGAACGTCGACTGCGAGCCAGGCCTAATCGCCCAACATCAGTGCCCGACCTCACTAATACTCTTGTGGCTGAATGGAAGCGAGTCCCCACAGCAATGTTCCAACATCTAGTGTAAAGCCTTCCCAGAAGAGTGGAGGCTGTTATAGCAGCAAAGGGGGGAACAACTCTATATTAATGCCCATCATTTTGGAATGAGATGTTCGACGAGCAGGTGTCCACATACTTTTGGTCATGTAGTGTATCTCTGCATTAGCTGACTCAGCCGCGTCTCATAGACTAGACGTAACATAGTAAATTTAAATCCGGTACACTCAAATTATACTCATGTTATGTGTGGTATGGTTACATAGGACAGAAGGTTACTTAAGGCAAAAAATGAAAGGTGGGTGGGCATATAATGTGAACATCTAGCAACCCAAAGGTTACGTGTTCGAATCTCATCACAGACAACTTAAGCATTTTAGCTAATTAGCAACTTTCAACTACTTACTACTTTTTAGCTACTTTGCAACTACTTAGCATTTTAGCTAACCCTTCCCCTATCCATAACCTTAACCCTTTTAGCTAACCCTTCCCCTAACCCTTTAACCTAACTCCTAACCTTAACCCTAACCCCTAGCCTAGCTAATATTAGCCAGCTAGCTAACTTTAGCGTTAGCCACCTAGCCTACGTTAGTCACAACAAATTGGAATTCTTAACATAGCATACATTTTGAAGATTCGTAACATATTGTATGTTTGTCAAATTCGTAACATATCATACGAATTGTAATTCATAATATATCATTTTAAATGGATGATGGACATCCACAAATTAATGCATGCCATACCAAACGTAACCTATCATACTAAATGGAGTGTGTCAGATTTAAGTAAATAATTATATGAAATGCTCTGAGGCCAGGTTGCCTGACTAGCCTGTGAATGTGCTTCAGTGCTTGTCCTCCTATGTGCGACCTAATAAAGGGTAATACAAATATTGTTTTATTCTCTTGACAGTATTGTATCTAATTTATTTAAGACATATGATTGTTGAAATTAAGCCATCAATACATTTTGAACTATGTTCCTCTCTGATAATAAAATAAACACCTTTATGCACTCATGGAAACTTGGCTAACATGAAATTAAATAATTTCTTACATGCACTGTTGGTGAATTACAAAAGTTAACCTCCTGAAGATGTACAGTTATAACAACAAGAACAACAACCCATTGTAGAGAAAAAAAATGTCAACTGAACTGACAATGCAATCGAAATTCACATACATTAAATACTTACATTTTATAAAAGTGAAAAGGAAAGCAAGGAGAGTGAGAGTCCGTGTCATTTTGACAGTGTCACGATATCCATCCGTGTCCTCATTCAGGAAGCCTATTAATAAGAATAGTATCTAACGTGCTTACCAATCATTCCCAACTCCTAAAAAGCTCCACACACGAGCGCCTGTCTGGCTCTACAAATAACGACACCCGCATTAGTTAGAACAAATGTGTACTGAAAACGGTGTGTCTGTACCAGGTCGAGATTTGCAGCTACGTTGGGATAGAAACGTGACCCTTTCCCCAACATACACCTTCCTCACTCGTTGCGCGTCACTCTCACACACAAAATCTCCTCCTGAGCGAAAATCTTCGATCGACTAACTGCTATTTTCCATCCTTCCTTCAATGTTGAAACTTAGCCGTGTGTTGTTATAGGTGGTAGGCAGGTTTCTGTGATAGTACTTAGGCTATAAACAACAACATTTATGACAATAAAAGGTTTTGTTTTCTTGATTTATTAATCCACAACAAAATCAATCAAATCTATATTCATATGATCATCTGTGACCATAGTGTCATGTGTTGAATCTAGACCACTATATGCATGCTAGTTTTATGTTTTTTTTAATAATATATTATTATTTTCCCAATATTAAACCTGCCACATGGATAAGTTGCCAAAACACCAATATAGGTCACATGGTGACCTAAGTTACCCTACATGAGGATTTCTCAATTAACTGACAACCAAATGGACTGGAGCGCTTTATGAAACGTTTTATTAGTGTCCATATTGTGTTAGATGACCAGAAGAATGTCTGTCCCCTCATCAGATGGCATGAGTGTGCTGTCATTATCTCACTCCACTGACCATGAGGTCACTGCACTGCACTCGGTGTGACCTCTCTCTCTCTCTCTCTCTCTCCTCTCTCTCTCTCTCTCTCTCTCTCTCTCTCTCTCTCTCTCTCTCCCTCTGACTTTTCCTACATGCACTTAACTGTACCAGCCTTCCTCTTTCAGTCACACCACAAACACACTCACTAATACAACATTGACACAGACTCTGACGTCTCAGTTCAGTTGCTTCTACATCTGGATGCTCTGGCCAGATAACCACATCTATTTAAAATTGTTTGTTTCCTGCCACACATCTTCTCTGGCTATCATGGTGGCTGTGTGATGAGTTGGGTTGATTCAGTGACGTCACACAGGTTTGGTGAGGATGTTTACTAGGTCCGGTGGGTGATAAACAACCCTATGTCTCTGGATGGGACAGATTTACAGTAGTGGACCCAAGTCAGTCCAATGGAAGAGCAATCTCAGCCCAGCAGATTTACCGTCTGCACACTGCTTAACCCCTCATTATCATGCCCAATGAAGGAGCTGTATCGGACAGAGAGAGCAAGCCCTCATTGTAATGAACAACAAACACACTGCATCCATTTTAACTTTCTGGTATTGTTTTCCTTTTAAGGTTATTGCTGATGATGACCTTCATTTGTCCCATAGATGATCTATACATAAGGAGAATAGAGTTGTCATATATATGCCCCTGGTTATTCAGAATATACTGACGTATATATGACATTTGAGCATTTAGGTGGGTAACATCAAAAAAGAGAGCCCTGTTTACTGATAGTTACACCTCAGCATTGTGTGAAGCCATTATGATGTGCCGCCAAATGGTCTCCTAACGACCATTTTTAGATTTGTCATACGACCTTAGTGGTAATCTAGAAAGCACATTAAGGTCCTGGAGTGGCTGCCAGTTCCGACCCCAAAATTCCAGGAAAATTTCTGGGAGGGATGAGGGTTCGATTTGCCAAACGTACCCTCGAAACTTAAAGTTGGGAAGACGCAAGGGGGGAACGTCTACTTTGGATTCCCAAAAAGGTTTTTTGACCAAGTTAAGTCATTTTTTTGCAGGGGGTTTTCAAAATTATTCCTCATAAAATGAAAAATAAATTTAAAAATTTTTGCATGGGGTTCGGATTTTTTTTTTTGTTTTCTTTTCCTCACGTTAAAATAACCCTACCTTAAAAATTAGACTGATATTTCTGTCAGGGGCAAAGTACAAAAAAGCAGGGGACAAATACTTTTTCCCTCACTGTACATGCCTTTTTAATGGAACGCTTTAAAAGGTTGCTTTGAATTTTTTGTTTGGCAGGAGGGGGCAGCGGTGTTAAAAGAGACTAAATGCAATGGTGATTTTAAAAGGTCCTCTGCTCCACGCTCAAAATATGCTTTTCTGAAAAATTGCATTAGGACGAGTTTGGGAGGTAAATTGCCCCCGTTTTTGCCCCAAATAGAAAAAGCAGGCAAAAAACACCCTGTCTTTGGTTTGCAGTGTTGGCCTAAAGAAGCCGAGGTCCTACTGAACGAACATGGGCTTTAGCTGTAGGGGTTGAATATACGAGGGTTAAAATATTTGCCAGGTTCCCCACACGAGCACAGAAGATGGCCCCAGCCGGGTCTGTGTGCTTTAGCCAGTTCCCCGGCTTTTTTGTGGCCATACATGTTATGAAAAAACCAAAAAGACGAGTGGACAAGAAAAAAGCTACACATAATCTACCCCACCCGGAAACCCGTTGCAAAAAGGGGTGAAGGGCCCCGTGATGATGGGAAAAGGTGTAATGACCTTTATCTCCGTGACTTCCCTCTCCCTTTGAAAAGGGCCGGTTTTATTAAACCCGGGTGGTCAGGTCCATTTGATCCCTTTTGTGGAAACCTTTAACCAAACCTCCCCCAAACAGAACAGTGAACCACAAAGGCTCAAAGAAATACCCAGAATGCCTATCTTGGACTATGTAAAGGTTACTGAACAAAAGGGGGGATTAGTGACTCAGGATAAGGAGAGCTTTTAATGAAAATACACAATATGAAAAATTGTGGTTTTGGCTATTCAGCCACACCTTTGGACAGGTGTATAAAAAGAGACACAGCATGCAATCTCCAAGAAAAACTTTGGGCGTGGGGAAGGGCCTTACTGAAAGCTCAGTGCTTAAACTGGCACCGTCTTTGTCCCACCTTTCCCAACAATCTTTTGTCAAAATTGGCTTAAACTTGTGGCAACATTTGGGGAAGGCCCTTCCTATTTCAGCACGAAAACCCCCCGGCAAAAGCGGCTCCTCAAAAAGGGTTTTTTTTGGGGATCAGTGTGGAAGAACTGATGGCTGACGAGCCCGACCCAACCCCATCGAAATTTTTGGGATGAATTGACGTGGGATGGAGCCAGCCTAACGCCCAAATCAGTGCCCGACCCCCTAAACCTCTTGGGGTGAAGGGAAGCAGTCCCCAAAAAATTTTTCCCAACATCTGTAAAAAGCCTTCCCAGAAGGTGGGGGGTTTATGCAGAAAGGGGGGAAAAAATTAATTAATCCCCCTCTTTTTGGAGAGATTTGCGGCAGGTGTCCACATATTTTTTGGATTAGGTATCTGCATTAGTGACTCAGCCCGTTCTAGAGGGGCGTAAATAGTAAATTTAAATCGGTAATAAAATTATATCATTTTTATGTGTGGTATGGTTACTAGGACAGAAGGTTACTTAAGGCAAAAAAAAAAAAGGGGGGTGGGAAAATGTGAACTTAGCAACCCAAAGGTTAGGTTTTCGAATCTATCACAGAAAATTAAGTTTAGTAATTGCAACTTAACTATTACTACTTTTTAGACTTTGCAAATATTTAGATTTTAGTCCCCCTTTCCCCCTTCCAAACCAAACCCTTTTTAGCAACCTTCCCAACCTTAACCCTAATCCTAACCTTACCCAACCCTAGCCTAGTAAATTAGCCAGCTAGCTAATTTAGCGACCCACCTACCCTATTTTGTACAAAAAATTTTAAATTTTTCATGATACATTTTGAAGTTTCGAAACATATTGTATGTTGTCAAATTGAAATTATACGATTGAAATTTCTAATATATTTTTTAAAGGAGAGGAATCCAAAAATTAATGATGCCATCCAAACGTAACCTTCTTTATAAGGGTGTGTCAGATTTAAGAAAATAATTATTAATGCTCGGGGCCGGTTCCCGACTACCCTGTGAAGGGGTTTTCGTGTTTGTCCCCTATGTGCGCCTAAAAAAAGGGAAATACAAATATTGTTTTTTTCTGAAAAGGTTTAATTTTATTAATTTTTTAATTAACCCATCAAAAATTTTGAACATTTTCTCTTGATAAAAAAAAACACCTTTTGCACTAAACGGAAATTAAAAAATTTGCACTTTGGGGAAATTAAAAAATTTAACTCTGAAGAGTACGTAAAACAACAAGAACAACAACCATTGAGAAAAAAAAAAAATGTCAAGAACTGACAATGCAATAAATTTACATACTTAAAACTAATTTTTAAAAAAGTGAAAAGAAAAAGGAGAGTGAGAGCCGTGTCTTTTTGAAGGGTTCACGTACCTCCGGTCCTATTCGGGAAAGGGCCTTTTAATAAGAATAGTATCAAACGTGTTTCCCAATTTCCCAACCCCAAAAAAGCTCCACACCGGGCCTGTTGGCTCTACAAAAAACGACACCGCTTAGTTAGAACAAAGTGTACTAAAAAACGGTGTGTCTTCCAGGGGAGTTGCAGCTCGGGGGAAAAAAAGTGACCCTTTTCCCCCCAAAACCCCCACCTTCCTATCGTTGCGCATCGCCTTCCCCAAAAACAAAAATCTCCCCCTAAGCGAAAACTTGATCATCGATAACTGCTATCTTCCTCAATGTTGATACAGCCCTGGAGTGTTTTTGGTTTGGAAAGGTTTTTGTGGTACTATAGGCTTAAAAAAAAAAAAGTAGACAATAAAAGGTTTTGTTTTTTTGATTTATTAAACCCAAACAAACAATTTAAATTTACATATATATCTGTGACCAAAAAGGTCATGTGTGAATCTAACCACTAATGCATGAGTTTTATTTTTTTTACTAATTTTTTATTTCCCCAAATTAAAATGCCACGGATAAATTTCCAAACACCAAAATTTGGGGACATGGTGACTAAGTTACCCCCAGAGGATTTTCAATTTAAAGAAACCAAATGGACTGGGGCTTTTTGAAACGTTTTTTTTTGGCCAATTGGTTTGATGCCGAAAAATGTTGTCCCTCATCAGAGGGATGAGTGTGCGATATCTCCTCATGACATGAGGGGCCTGCATGCATCGGTTGACATCTTTCTCTCTCTTCTCCTTCCTCTCTTTTTTTCTCTATTTCTCCCCCTTTTTACTTTTCCCCTACATGCATAATGGTACCAGCCTTTTTCTTTTAGTACACCACAAAAAAACTCACAAAACAAAATTGACACAGACCCGACGCTTTTTTTCGTTGCTTCTAATTGGAGCCGGGGCCCGAAACCACACTAAAAATTTTTTGTTTCCGAATTTTGGTATAAAGGGGTGGGTTTGGGTGGTGGAGGTTTGGGGAAATTTTGGGGGGTGGGTTTTCTCGTGGGTGGCAACCCCAGGTTGGTTGGGGATGTTTACAGGGGTGGGAGTAATAAAACAACCCCAGCCCTACCCTGGGGGGGAAAAGAATTTAATATGGCCCAAGAGTTTTGGGGGAAAGGCCCTCTTGCAAAAAAAAACCATTTTCCCCCCCAAAGGATTGTTCCTTTTAATTATTAAAACCCCCCTTTTCATTTTCCCAAATGAAAATTATGGGGAAAAAGGGGTTTAAAGCCCCCTTTTGGAATTACAAAAAAACATTTTATTTTTTAACTTTGGATGTTTTTAAAATTTTTAAAATTATTTGTTTATGAAACCCATTTGTCCCCAAATGGTTCTATAAATAAGGGAAAGAATGGCCCCCGTTTCATTATTTATGCCCTTTGGGGTTAATTTTAGAAAATTAATATATATACATTTTGGATTTTGGGGGTAATTTTGCCCCCGAATGTTTACCCCAAACCCCATTAGTTTTGCCCAATGGGTTTTTGGGGCCATTTTTTCAAAAAAAATTTTTTTAAAAAAATTTAATTTGAAATTTGTGGGTTATCCAAATTTTGATTTTTAAAGGTCTCCCCACCCCTTTTTCCACGGGAAAGAAAAAACTAAAACCCCTTTTTTTTCCCACGGCCCAAAAAATTTTTTTGGGTTTTTTCTCCATTTTTAAAAAAGGGGTTTTAAAAAAAAACCCCTGAACCCTAAAAATTGGTTTTAAAAATTTAATTTTTTATTCCCTTTTCCGCTCACTTTTGGAGAGACCCCCCCAAACCCAAAACAGGGGGGGAAGATTTTTATTGTTTCCGAAATTTTCCCTTTTTGAATTTGATGGAAAGGAGAAAATTTCCCTTTCAGGTAAAAAAGAGGCCTTCCCCCCTTTTTTCCCCCTTACCTTTCTTCCCCCCGGGGGGGGGGCCCCCGGGGAAAAAGAAAACCCCCCCCAAAAAAAAAAAAAAAATTCCCCTCCCCCCTCCGGGGGCCCCCTTCCCCTCCCCGTCATGCCCCCCTTTAAGAAAGACGTTTCAAACGTGGTAGAAATTGTTTCTTGTCCCATTGGCCCTTATGGACATTTTTAAACACTGCTTCTCTTTTATGCTCAAATCTTTTTTGTTTTTCCCTATAAAAAGGCCCCCCCAAAATACTTCTTCTTTTCTTTCCCCTTCTTATCAAAATGCCCCTTTTCCTTTCTATGAAACCCAAAAAAGCTTTCCATGCAATCCTTCTAATCTTTGCCCGTTTTTCAAAGCCCCCTTCCCGCTGACGCCCCAAGCCTCTTTTGCCCCCCCTTTTCCCCCAGGAAAGGAAAAAACAACACAAAAACAAATGAATTGGTTTTAATCCGCTCCCAAAAATTTTAACTTTCAGGAACATGGACCTCCTAATTCACATCTTTATGTTTCAGTAAAAACCCTGAAAAAAAACTTCTGTCTTTCCCTTTTTAAAAAACAGGCATAATGAATATTTTAATTGAGGCTTTTAAAACCAAAAAAAAGCCCTTTTCCTCCAAATTCCTTTGGGCTTTCTTTCCCCTTTTCCCCCCCCCCCTTCCCCTCACCCTTTCCCGCAAGTTTAAAAAAACGATTTTTTTAAAAAAAGGGCCAGCCCCAAATTTTTAGGGTTTTTTAGAGGGAAATTCTCATTCCCGGTCTTTTTTAGGGGGGTTATTACCTTGGGAAAAAAACTTTCCTACATCTTTTTGCCCCGGGGGGACAGCCCTGGGGTTAATTTAGGGGGAAATGCAAATAGAAAGGCCCCCCAAAACTAGGGGGAAAAATTTCTTTAGTTTCTGGGTTTTTCTTTTCACCCTTTTTAATTTTTTCTTTTCCTCCCCCTTTTTCCCGCCGCTCCCACCTTTTTTCCCCGTTCTTACCCGGGGTGCGGGGGCCTATAGTTACGTCCAGCTCAGTGAAGGTATTGATTTTCCCCTGTCCAGGCCTGGAGGGGGTTTCAAGCTTTTGGGGTTGGGTTATGGTCAATACATTTTACAGTGGGGTTTTTGTGTGCAAGATGGGGGAATCAAACCCCCAAAGGCAGGAAAAATGGAAAGTAAAACTCTTTGAAACCTTTTTGTGTTTTTAAAATTAGCCAAAAA